CTCAGGGGCGGGTGCCGGGGCAGCTCTGAACTTTGGGCTGTTCCACAACTGACTCTGGGCTTGGCCAACGGAATTGGCGTGGTGGTGAGAGTGCTCCTGAATGTGGTTGTGGGCGTGAATGTTTTCCCGTCTGAGCAGGTCGGCCTTTGCTCCAGCCAGCATCATCGCGGAACCCGGAGGCGGAGTAATCATTTCAAAGTATTCCGGAGACAGCCACTCGCCCAAGAAGGCATCCAAGCGCAACGTTGATTTCTTGATCGTCTTCTTCTTGTTCTGCTCGGGCTTGGTACCGTTCGCATCGTTGGAGAGGGGATCGACTTCCTCAGCTACGGACGCTGGGAGGACAAAGGGTGAAGCGGAAGGGTTCGCGCTGGGCGACGGCATCGGGTATGAGGGCGTGCCGGGCGTGGGCGCCTGGGCCAGGCCCGCGCTGATGGCGACGGAGGTTTGGACGCATCGCAAGAATGGGGAGCTATGGAGGACGACCTTGAACTTGCGACGCCTCTTTTGCGAGTCGACGGAGCCATTGCGGCCGTTGGAGAACTTGGGATCGGCGTTGACCTCGGCTTCGGCCTGCCTCAGTATGTTTCCAATGCGGATGCCGAGTGCTTTGGCTTGCTGCCAGCCGCCGTACGTCAGAGGAGGGTCGTAGGGTGTCGGGGACGTGAGATGCCACTTTTTGTCGGCAGCGTCGAGACGTGCGCCGTGCCTAGCAGTGTTGTCAGTCTTCCAAGAGCTTGCATGCGTAGGTAGTGAGTAGTTTCTCTTACCTGACGACGAAAATGTACGCCGGAGGGCGCCCCATGTTGTCGGCGACGCAGGTAAAAATGTGAAAGCCCACCCAGGATATGTGCGAAAGTCGGCGTGGAGGGTATTAGGTGCAAAAGCCAACGGCGTATATGACAACCTCTAGCAGGGAAAGAAATCCGGACGGAGGATCAAATAACGACGGGTGGAAATGCGGCTAGAGACACCATCCAAGACTTTGCGGACCTAGAGGATCGGATGGCTTGGGTAGGCGGAATAAGCTTCGATGTACCGGCGGCGGAGGACCGAGAGGGCACGGGCGAAGGTGACGGACTACGCAGTAAGTTGCAGATGACCGGGACGGTTTTGGTAGTTGATGCACTTGGGGACGTTCAGGTTGTGATATTTCCGGATGGACGGAGTCGATGTGAGGACAAGCTGGAGAGCGAGGGAAAGACGGAGAGAGAGAGAGAGAGCGGTTGAGTAATCAGAAAGAAGGAACGAGTCGAGAAAGTAGAAAAGACGAAGAAGCAGCGAGGTAGGTACTGGCAGAGAAGTAGTAGGCAGGCGGAGGAGGTGGAGGGCCTGGCAGGCGGATTTCAGAATTTCTGCCACGAGTTTTACGTCGGTCATCCGGTGTTTGGGTGCCCCTCTCTCCGTGTCCGACCAGTTGGCACCGACTTCGCAAGCGCTAAGATGATGGGACTATCCGTAACAGACTAACAGTAGGTAGGCAGATGGAGACCGTTGACGAGCATGCCATCGGTCGGTCAGCGGGCGGTGGAGATTGACCTGGGAGGAGAGAGAGAAGAATGAAGGTGGAGCGGAGCGGTCGTGGAGAACCTAGCTTAAGATACAATCAATCGGCACCGAGTCGCGACAAATGGGCCAGGCTTGGGGAGGGTCAATAAAGGTATTAATTTGCGATCGGAACCCGCCCAGGCCTAGGTACCCAGGTAACTATTGAGCCAGGTATCTTGGGTCTTCAGGTGCGGATACAAACAGGGGATGTATTTATGTACGGAGTACGCAATGCGGATATGTATGTATGTATGTAAGTATGTATGATCCAGGCGCAGGTGCAGTCGCAGCCGCAGTCAGTCAGTCAGTCAGTCGTGCAGGTTGCAGAAGACACAAAAGAAAGCAACCTCGGGAACGAAGCATTTGAAGGTACATGATGGATATGTAGAACAGTGACAGAGCATGGTCCCTCCCGTCTTAGGTACCTAGGTTTCCAAGGGTTGCCAAAGGCGGGGCAGATTCTGCTCTTCTCTCTCTCATCTGCTTTGTCTTCTGGTCAGGGTTACATATACAGACCGTAAGTGCAAAGACACAATGATGCAAGGACTCGAAAAGACGACACATCTCAGACCCTCGCCAATACGAACCATCGTGGGACAGCCCACCTACTACGCAAGAGTCGTCAAGGGTCAGACTATGGTCCAATAGTGGTGTGGTGATGCCGGGTGCGTCAGTGAGGGGGAGAAGAGTTGGAGGAGGGCGAGGTACCTTACTGAGGGTTGGAGGGGTAGCAGAGGCTTAGGTTTGGCGAGTGACAGGCCGGGAAGACACTGCGAGCCAGCGAGGGAGGGGGATTGGATTGTCACTGCCATTGCCAAACATAGGTACTCCCTAGCCTACTAGGTAATTATGTCTGCGCCCACCTATGAGGTACCGCTGCTACTTTGAGCATCTCGGAGACGAACCAGAGACACGACAGGGTCATGCATGTCTGTTACGCCAGGCGCGTCAGCCGTTGCTACCTTACCTTACTGTGTAGGTAGTGTAGTCTTTACTCTTCAGGAGGGGTCGCTGCCATGGATGACGGAGAGGTGCAGACTGCAAACGAAAAAGATTCATTTCCTTGCCTATTTGCTCTCTGTCACTCTGTCACTCTGCGGTGTGGAAATGTGCATGTGATTGTCCCGCTCTCGCTTTTTAGCGCCAAACGTAATCACGGCACGTGGGGAGACGAGAAATTTTAGACGAGCAGAAGACGAAGACTTCCCTTTGGGCAATATCCGAAAATGCTACTACTGCGTATGTAAGTGCTAAGGTCCGGTCTGCGAGATGGAGAAGCTTAAGTAATCAGACTCCAACGGCCCGACACTCTCGCAATACCTTACCTAAGACACTTTTAGCAAAGCCGGGCAATCAAACTCTGAGTCTTGAGCATTCCAGTTTGCCAGGTGCCTTTGTTTGGCCCATTGGTGCATTCTTTGTCCCTGATCACGAGTACCATCCCAGCCCAGATGCAAACAGTATACCTAGCCGCCGTATAGGTTTGACTCAAATCACACGATGCTGACGCAACTCATCAAGCTGGTCATAATCAACTTCCCTTGCCAGCTGCCAGCTAATTACTCCCAGCACCCAGTCCGAAGCATGGGCGGCACCGCGGCGCCGCGGCAGAGACTCACCACCTCGGACATGAATCCTCCGAAGCTATCCAGGTTCCGCTCGCCGCTCGGTCCAACGACCCCGTCTAGATCCGACTCCCCTCCACATTAGCATCTCATGGATAATGGATCTTTTTCGCACTTTGTCAAGCCCTGAGATTCAGATGAGCTAATCCCCGCAAAGCAAAGTGGACTGTGCAGGGCGGCCGCCAGAACACCTCCCAATTACCTAAACCAAGTACCCCAAAAGTACTGAATAGACCATCATGCATGAATAGACCGGGTGACTCTTCCTGAATGTCGCCGGCCAAGTGACTCAAATTATACAAAAGTTCTTTTTTGGTTCAATAAACAAGTAAAAATGTCTCCGAGCACAGATAACCTTAAAAGCCACATCGAATGGGAGACTGCGGGTAACTTGGAGGGATACACCCAAGTCCAATACACTTTACTCTTCGTTACCCCAGATTCCAGATCAAACGAACACTACTACACCACCTACATCTCTTCCCCACGTATCACCAAGCTGCTGGAACACAGTAACCTACCCTTCAGGCCATACTAGTCACCACCCAGGAATTGAATAGAGAATCCCAACCCAAACCACAAGATGGCAACCGCACCCAAGGACCAGCAGGACTCGGCAGACATCAAGTCCCGCCTCAAAGAGTCCTACGACACCATCGCCACCGAATACAACGAATGGACCCTCCGCCAGACATCCCTCCGCATCGAGTACCTCGAGAAGCTCATGGAGGAGCTCCTCACCGCGAAACCTCTCACGGGCCAAATGTCCCTCGTTCTCGAGCTCGGCTGCGGCTGCGGCCTCCCCGTCACCGAGAGGCTCCTCACCGCGCCCGACACCTACGTCACCGCAAACGACCTCTCCACCACCCAGATCGACGTCGCCCGCAAGAACCTCGCCAAGCACGGCACCGACCGCGTCTCCTTTGTCGAGGGCGACATGATGAAGCTCGAGTTCTCTGAGGGTTCCTTTGACGCCGTCATCGCCATGTACAGCATCATCCACCTGCCCCGCGAGGAGCAGACCGAGATGATCCGCCGCGTCGCCAAGTGGCTGAAGCCCGGCGGGCTGCTGCTCGCCAACTTTGCGTCAAAGGACTTGCCTGCCGTCGTGAATGAAGAGTGGCTTCACGAGAAGGGATGGATGTACTGGAGCGGTTGGGGCGCCGATGCGACTGTGGAACAGCTCAAGGAGGCCGGGCTGGAGGTTCTTGTCAGGGATATCGTCGATGACAAGGACGACGCCGAGTTCCTCTGGGTCATGGCGAAGAAATAAGCACTATCTTGAATGATTTCTGGTCGTTTCAACTTGGGTCCCGGAAAATTCAACATCAAGCGGACATCAGAGGCATCCTCGATCCCTCATGTCATGTCAGTCTGCATATCATGCAAGACACGACGGGATAGCAAGGGTTGCCCAAGTCAAGGTACCATGTACTTTGAACTGGTGGGGTTTCGCTTCTCTAAGCAAGTACTTTTCAGTATCTTGCGGTTTCTCAATGTCCTTTATATCAAGACGTTGATAGTCTAAAAGTAAACAAAATCAATTGAACATTTACTCTACTTGATGATGATCATTCGGCTCCAGTCTACACATTATGAAATCCTAGATTGCTCGGTAGCACTGCGAGGTACTAAAGCATGGTAAAACAATCGGATCGCTTCCAAGTGGCGGGGAGAACTAACTGGTACCTGACCCAAACTGCGCTACCCCGGTCAAAGAGGCAACGGCAACGGTCTGTGCCCCAGGGAACCGATCGGCTTACTAAGGCCAACTTTGTCAGGGCGAAGCTCCGTGGCGGGCCCCCTTACCAAGCTGTTGGTTAATCATTTCAATCGGTCGTGACATTCTCTCATTTCCACTCGTCTCCCTTGCGACGACAGTACATGACCTTGTAACACCTTCCCGCCATTCACGACTTCATTGATTCGAATCACCGTCATAATGAAGCTATCACGATTCCTCCAGTTACCAGTCCTCCTGGCTGCCTCGACCCTCGCCCCCGCGGTGCTCGCCGAGCACACCAGCAACTGGGCCGTCCTCGTCTGCACATCGCGGTTCTGGTTCAACTACCGCCACCTCGCCAACGTGCTCTCCATCTACCGCACCGTAAAGCGCCTTGGCATCCCCGACTCCCAAATCATCCTCATGCTCCCCGACGACATGGCCTGCAACCCGCGCAATGCCTTCCCCGGAACAGTCTACAGCAACTCGGACCGTGCTGTCGATCTGTACGGCGACAACATCGAGGTGGACTACCGCGGATACGAGGTGACTGTTGAGAACTTTATCCGCCTACTTACCGACCGCGTCGGCGACGAGATGCCCCGCAGCAAGCGCCTTCTGACGGACGACCGAAGCAACATTCTCGTATACATGACAGGCCACGGTGGAAACGAGTTCCTCAAGTTCCAGGATGCTGAGGAAATCGGTGCTTTCGATCTGGCTGATGCCTTTGAACAGATGTGGGAGAAGAAGAGGTGAGAGGTGCCCAGGTGTACATGTGCTACTGCGACGACATTTACTGACTGCTCTTCACTCAGATACCACGAGATCCTCTTCATGATCGACACCTGCCAAGCAAACACAATGTACAGCAAGCTCTACTCCCCCAACATCATCGCCACCGGCTCCTCAGAGCTCGACCAGTCCTCCTATTCCCACCACGCTGACAACGACGTCGGCGTCGCTGTCATCGACCGCTACACCTACTACAACCTCGAGTTCCTCGAATCGCAAGTCCAAGACCTGAGTTCTAAGAAGACGGTCGGCGAGCTCTTCGACAGCTACACGTACGAAAAGATCCACTCCCACGCCGGCGTGCGCTACGACCTCTTCCCCGGCGGCGCCGACGCTGCGCGTAGCCGTCGCATCACCGACTTTTTCGGCAACGTGCAGAACGTCGAGGTCGACGGCGCCAAGAACATGGTGCTCGACGAGGAGCTACTGGAGCTCAGCCAGAAGATCGCCGCGCTCAAGCAGCGGGCCCAGGAGGCGGATGCGGCGGCCAAGAATGCGTCATTGGCGGAGGGCGCAAAGGGCCAGACTCCGGATGTGAAGACGAGGGCTAAGAGGGTGCAGATGGCGAAGCCGCTCACGAATGAGAATTGGTGGGAGAAGAAGATTATCGGGGTCACGGCCTTGATTGGATGCGCGCTTCTCTGGGCTTTGGGGTCGTACTATGAGGCGCCAAAGAAGAGAGCCGATGATGCTAAGACGGCCACGGGGCAGAATGGCCATGCCACCGTCAAAGCATGATCTTTTCTCTTTCCCACTTTCTTGTATTTTAATGTCTTTAGTTCACTTGCACGATGTGCATTAAGCATGGCGTTTCATGGGATATGGAAGGGAATGATTCAATTATAGCTTGAGGGCTGGTTTCAAGCTTTATCAATAATCAGCAAGGAAAGCTCACGACTGCTCCAAAAACGAGGAGAAAATTCAATACATTGCCTGAGTATACCCATACTTCACCTTCATGTCAACTGAACAGTGTCCCGTACCCAATGTGTCACTCTTGTTTGGTGTTGGTGCATTTATCCGAAGTATTTCCTTGAGGTAGGTCGTCCCTCACTCGTCTACACCGAGATCCTTCACCGACGCGTTTCCCACTCTAAAATCTTGCTGGGCAAAGTCAATGCTTTTGACGACAGTCCATCAACCTCCGCACGTACTTCATGGAGGGACGTAAACATCCCGTAATCTGCGGAAATGGATAGCTCAAAGGTTTGTTTGGGAATCTCCTTCCGTTCTGGCGCTTCTAGATTGGTCTTTCCGCGGCATATCGTGCTCCTCCTCAGCTTCATCCTAAGCTTACAACGGGTCCCTTCACTTCATCGTGGCCTCGTGTAAGTGACAAATGGAATACTGCTGTGCCTCGTTCCATTTTTCCCACAAGACTATGTCACATTGCCGTACTGCTCTCGCTCGCTGGCACTACGTACCTTATCTTCCTGCCCACTCCAGTAACCCTTTCGCAGGTTAATCATCCACTCATCTCAACATCGTGACCTTTCCTCTCACACGAAAGTCCGTCGTTTCCCCTTCATAAACTATCGCCAGCCCTCCATGGGCGACAATCTATCCATCCAACTCCTCTTCAACCGCTGAAGTCAGCAATTATGGACGACATCACCGCCTTTTCAAGAACCCTCACCCTCAACCCCCCAAACCACAACCACACACTAACACCCTTGGACGACGACCAGATCCCACCCCTCAAAACCCTCACCCTCAAATCCAGGCCCCTAGCCAGCCACGCCCTCACCTTCTCCTGCGACGCAGAGCTCGCCGTCGCCGCAGACGACTCAATCCACGTCTTCCTCCCTGAGTTCCCGACCCCAGAAGAACCGAACAACAAGCAGGAGCCATCCAAGGACGGCAATGAAGACACAAAAACAGCAGCACCAGCAGCAGACGAAGACCCCGCCGGCGTAGCAGCAGCAGCCCTCGCCGCCGCCGCAGCCGACGCAAAAGACGGCGAAAAGCTCTACCGCCAACAATTCTACACCTTCCAGCTCCGCATCCCTACCTCCCGCAAACCCGACCCGCGCATGAACGCCGCGCTCTTCGCCGCCCGAGGCCTCCCCGTCCCCTCCTACGACGACGACTGGGCCGCCGGTGAAGCTGCTGCCGGCGGCCCCGGCGAGGCAGCAGTCCCGGACCCCTCCTCCGCGTTCGAGGGCGTCGGCTCCGGAACGGTAACAGGCTACGGCGCCTCGCTGAACCAAGTCGTCGCGATAGAATGGTCCCCCGGAAACCTAGGCCGGAATCTGAGGGCGGTGTTGACCGTGATGCTGACCAACGGCGCGCTCCTCGTCATCGGCGAGGGAAGCGGGAGCGGGGGCGGTAGTACCAGCCACGGACCCGTCGACCTCGGCGCGCGGATGAGGAATTTTCGGGACTGGCGCATCTTGTGGGGCGTCGGCGCGAATTTACCGCTGCCGGACCCGGATGCCGAGGAGGGCGGCGACGAAGGGGCGCATCTGCCGCGGGATAAGGTAAGGTCGTTTGCGTGGGCGAGGATGGTTGGGACGGGCCAGGCGCTGTTGGCGTACGCGACGGATCTGGAGGAGGTTGTGGTGTTGAGCGCGCAGTATTACCTCCCCAACGAGACGGACGATGCGTCGGATGCTGGGTCGTATGTGTGGGAGGTGGAGGAGGTTGCGAGGTTTGATGGACGGGGACCGCACCCGAGCTTGGGCGTGAGTTATGTTTCTTTCTCTCTCTGTCCATCTCTATCTCTGCTTGTTCACGATCCTTCCAAGAAAAGTGTCTCCCCCTAAAGGTATGTTTGCTAACGATACACAGGTCCTGGACCCCGATTATATCCCCTACACCTCAGCCTTCTCCCTAAAATGGAGCCCCTGGCTACACTCGGGCGACACCCGTACCGCTATCCTATCCTACTGCGCAAGAAACTACGTCGGCTTCCGCCGCATCACGATCCCGGCGGACTGGGAGCGCGGCGCGGCCGTCGAGATGGCCGTCGAGGAAGCCGACGTCACGGGCATCTGCACGAACCTATTATCCGACGCGTTTGTCGAGTGGGAGGACGTCGTCTGGGACCGGGACGACGTCAAAATCTGCCGCGGTGTGATTGCGTCTCCATTCAAGGCCTCGCCGTTCCAAGTTGCGCTCAACGGGCCCGAGGGCACGGCCAAGGAGCCTCACGGGACGGGGGTTTGCAAGACGACGTTTCCCGAGGATACGACGTCTATGGATGCGACGAATCCTATCACGAGTAGGGTTCCCCTTTTACCGGCGTCTAACAAAAGATGAAGCTAACAGTGTTGGCAGGCCTGATAATCCACCCCCCAAACCTCTCCAAACAAACCAAAGCCCCAGGCTACTCCCTCATCCGCCTCTCCGCCACAGCCACAAACGACAACTGGTTCCAGCAAAGCACCGCCGACGGCGCCGCCTCGCCCTCCCCAGACTCCCTCCCCAAATGGGCCGAAACAATTTCTTCGACTGTCAAGCTCTCCGTTCCCGTCACCATGCTCGGCCGTGGCGGTGGCGCCGGCGCCGGCGCAGTAGGCGGGGACGGCGAATCCGTTGCCTCGGGAGATGATTCCGACTCGGAGGATGACGATGACGATTTCGATTTGCCCGAGGACGCGGGCGAGCAGATCCACCCGCACCGCGTGCGCATGTGGGGTATGACGATGACGCCTGCGGGCGGGATGAGCGCTGTATTGGTGTCGCAGCATAGCACGCAGAAGCCGGAGAAGACGGTCAAGACGAAGGTCATGTTTGGGGGACGGGTCGGAAATGGGCCTGCGGCGGTGACAACGGCAGCAGGTGACGGTGATGAGATGGATGTTGATGGAGGGGACGACGGTGGTAGAGCGAGTCGATTACAGTACTGGGAAAAGCAGAGCACCGAGGCCAAGATGTGGGATTGGATGTATGCTGGCGGACCTGCTGTTCCCGGAACGCTTTGGGCTGGTACCGGGGACGAGGCAAGGGCTGGAGATGATAATTCGTTGAAGAAGAGGTTTGAGGAGGTCAAGGGGAAGCAGACGTGCGTGTTTTGTCATGCTTCTCTTGTTGATGAGGGTAAGGAGTCGATTTGCGAAAAGGGGCATATCTTTGGTGAGTCTTGCTTTGCTTTCTGTCTCAGGGGGGTTCGTTTTCACTAACGTTGACAATAGCTACCTGTGCGTCGACCGGCCTTGCGATCCTCGCGCCTGGCATCTCGAGAGCTTGTGCTGTTTGTGGTCTGCGGTGTCTTGTGGCTAAGGAGGTGGTCAAGATCGCGCAGGAACACATGGGCCCTGATGCCAAGGTTGATGCTTCTGAGGAGGCTTGTGGTGGATGTGGCGGCAAGTTTGTGGTGTAGATGGGAGAAATGAGCTTCACGCGATACCTTACCAAATAAAACTGAGGTCCAAATAGAGGTAACGGGTGTAAACAAACTTCAGTCTCGCCGTGTCATTAAGGTCCGAAGGGACGGGATGTTGTCTCCTAGACCCACGTGACTGTAGTAAGGCAGGCAGATACCTCCCGTACCCTCCTCCTTCCCGTGCCAGCTCATCCACATTACAACGCCGCACCTTCCTCAGGTTCACCCAGCCACATCACAAACCTTCATCCGATAACCTTTTCCATCACCCGAATACACAAGAAGCCTTCATATAGCCCTCCAAGTCCATTCCTGTCACCAGCCAGCAGGCGCCCCCCTAGGTCGGGGGGCCAGGTCAAACTGGCTGGGTGGTGGAGTGGTTTATGGTCAACAATCAAAATCGCCAACCAGCCTACTCGACGACAGGCTTAGCGCATACGAGTATCACGAGTTCGAGTCCCGGAATAAGCACCCAAAAATCGAAGTTTCCCAGCATGAGCACCAAGAGATGTAGCCCCCAGTTCAGCACCGGGGGGGTGAACTCTTTTTAGTTCTTATTTTGAATTTTTTGACGGCGCTGTTCACATTTATCTTTTGTGTTGTTTCAAGAGTGTTTAGTAATAATATTCTGATGTTATTGTACTTGTTGCTGCTAGCCACTGTATTAATCGACCCGAGTGTCGGCCACGTCTGCTCGCGGTCTGCGCCCCAGGACTGTCGACGGCCCTCAAGTTTCGACACTCTCATGACAAGACGTGAGGATGACTGAGCGAGCTCCCTCACCAAACCCTCTTGCCAGGCTTGGTATAGCAGCCGAGAATGCCATTTGTATCAACCCAGACCACATTGGCTTGATAGAGAAAACCGTCAACGTCAGTCAAGAGTGACTGTATATTCAGGCAGAAAGGTGCACTTACAGAGACCAACCTCCTTGAACGCGAGGAGACCAACCTCCTTGAGAGCCGCATTTCCCGGCACCCAGCACTGCAGCGTGATATTCCCTGAAGGTTCTTCTCCTACCGGTACGGGCGGCGGGTTCGACAATGTGCATATTTGTCCATTTGACCCGCCACTTTTCCGTTGATTGATTTCGCGTGAGTCACCATCATCTTCGCACTTCAGAGGATCATTCGAAATTGAATCGGAACTTGGTTTGACTCACCCTTCCCGCGCAACGAGTACGCCTTGATCGTTGGCCACGCATTCCCTGAGGTCGAGCTTGCTCGTCACGAGAGAGTTGTTCAACACTTTGTTTGGACAATCGGCGAAGAGCCAAGTTTCGTTGAACTGGCGTGAGTCCCATTTGGATCTCCACTCATTATTCAGGTCGAAGTGGGTGCAGTTGCCCGCCACGGTATGTGCGCAGGGAAATTCTTTGTGACAAGCTGACTTCTTGTCTTCAGCGGTCGCTACGACAATGACGGCGAGACTGGCGATGAGGTTGAATAGATTCATGGTTGCGATGGACTTTGTTGATCAGGCAGGATGGCTTGAGATCTGGAAAGCAGAGGCAGCTTGAAAGTTGATAAAGGCTCTTATGTAGCGTAGAAGTGGAACGGAGGTGTGAGAGGTCAGTAGATGGAGCGCGCCCTATAGAAGGTTTGATGGCATTAATACTGGATTCGCGGAGTCCAAACGATATCGACGTGGATACTCTACGCGCGAACCAACAGTGAGAGACGTCAAAAGGAAGCTGATTCTGAACAGTAGGTATTCGAGGACTAGCAACAAGCGACGATGAAACAGCCCCCGACAGCTTGGGGTCGGCCTAGGCAGCGTTGGAATTTGTCGGCCAGCCCAAAGGAAGGCAAACTGCGGGTAGAAGCAGTTAGCATTGGCACTCTTTACAACAAGGCAGTTGGCCGCTCTCAATCACTCGTTCCAGAGTGCCAAGATGGCGCGTGAACGTCCAGATAGCTTCAATAAAGCAATAGCAGCATCTTCTGGCAGATGAACGTTGCGGCTCATGTTTGCTCCGTATCTCCCCGGCAAGGACCGTTGAATATGATGGGTCACGCGCGCGCCTATCCTTTCCGCCAAACTGACTATTCCCCCAAAGCTTTTTTCATATACAAAGAATCTATGTTGAACAACTGTTCTACAGCTTGTTTGTTGAAAGTCTATAAGTAGCTGCTCGCCAAAAAGGGGGCTCGTTTCGCGGCGACTGTTTCTTTGTCCTGAAAAGTGTTGCTCGGGTTGCTCCAAAAGTTCCATCCTTTCAACTTGTATATATTGCATTTCGCGATCTAGGACTGAAAGATTGTTACTCGAACATGATTTGATGTTTCCAATTGGCGGTAAGTAAGTATGCAGCCCTCAGACACCCCTAATAGCTACTCTCTCAACACCGGCTTTATGTTTCAATCATGAAGTCCCTGGAATTCCACTGTGTTGGATGATATGTGAAATTTCCGACTTGACCCAACGAACATGAGTTCACCTGGGCGCCGCAAAGCAATGCAACGTCTAGATATAGCTTAATACTTAGGGTGCATAAACCGATGCCCAATCTCGTGATGAAGCCATGCCTCCCCTACGACGCAACAATCTTCCAAGGACTGCGCGAGAACCGATTGTCCGGATCATACTTCCCCTTCAACTCCACCAACCTCTTTGCATTCTCCCCAAACCCTTCCTTGACACCAACATCGCTGCTCGCATAGTTGTTATACTGTCCCACGCCGCCCCTCTCACCAGTGTGATTATCCCCTTTGATCTTTGCCGCCAATACCCGATTCCAACCCCTAATCATGCCATCCTTGGCTGGGTCTGTCCAGCAAGTCAAGACCATGCAGTCAAAGTACGTTCCGCGGTTCGAGTACGCCGTCGCTCCAAACGGCACGCTCACCACCTTGTCCTTCTTGTAGATTTCCACGGCCAGGATACTTCCCCGCATGTCGTTGCCCTTGGCTGTCTCCTCGTCGACACGCGAGTAAAACTCCCTGCTCATCTCTTCCCATTTCGCGAGCTCAAAAGGTGCGGTGAGGTTCGTTCCGCCCATCAGCCGTCTTGCACCAGGACCCTGGAGCTCATCGAGTATCGTGTTGGCTGTTGGGTAATCCATCTCGGTCGCCATATTCACCAGCGGTCCGACATCAAGCAGTCCCGTGAAGATACCCTCCGTCGCCTCTTTCCCCGTACCATTATGGAACGGCTGCACAATAATCATAGGCTTGGCATCAGGCCCCGGCGGGCCATAAGCAAATCCCATAATAACAAACTGCCTCCCATCCATCCGCTCCACAAACTCATTTGCCCAAGTAACCAGCGCAGGCAACTGCGAGTTAGCAAACATCAAAGCCCCATACCACACCTTCCCCTGCGGAAACACCTCCGAAGTAAACCTCGTGACAACACCAAAACTCGCGCCAGCGCCACGCAGCGCCCAAAACAAGTCCGCATTCTCCGTCTCCGACGCAGTAACAATCGACCCATCCGCAAGAACAACCTCCACTTCCACGAGACAGTCGACCGCGAGGCCGTGAAGCCCGCTCAACAGGCCCTGTCCACCGCCGAGCACGAGGCCGCCGACGCCCGTGTGCGATACCGTGCCGCCGACGGTCGCGAGGCCGTGCTTCCAGGTCGCGGCGTCGACGTCTTTCCAGGTGCAGCCGCCGCCGTAGGTGACGAGGCGTTTGGCGGGGTCGACTGTTACGTCGCGGAGGTGGGATGCTAGGTGGATGACCATACCGCCGTCCGAGGATGAGGTTCCTGCGGTGGAGTGGCCTCCGCCGTTGGTGGTGAAGGGGATGTTGTGTTTTGTGGCGAAGCGGATGGCTGCTGAGACGTCGTGGGCTGACTTTGGTTTGACGACTATGCCCTGTGAAGATGTTAGAGACACCGCGAACATGTTAGGCTAGTGGGCGTTGCCAGTATCTAGGGTCTTACCGCTGGTTTGATGCAGACGATGGACCATCGCACGAGACTTTCTTCGTACCCCTCATCGCCGGGCAGGAGGACGTCGCCGTTGATGTCTGCCCTCAGAGCTGGTACTTCTTGTTGCCACGATGCCATATTTCTTGTTTATTATAGTGAATGAAGCAGTGATCAAGTGTGTTTTACCAATATCTCGAAGGGCTGTGGTTGATTTTAAGTGTGAGACGTTCTCAGCACTTTGTGCAACAGGCGGGTCTAACAACACCAATTACCTGCAAAGTACCTCGTTCCGACCGATTAGGCAGGGAACGAGAAACACAAACACCATGAATCAGCATGATTCTGTCAAACCATTGGATGCAGCGTCGGGTAAAGCTATGAGATGTCGCCTGTCAGCACTAAAAGGGAACTAAATGGATCCTTTGTGAGAGGTATATTAGTAAGCCTGTGGACGGAGAGATGTGGTTCACTTGCGGATGCTTGACTTACGGCAATGGCTCTTCCAAAGAGGATATGCTAGACAGACAGAAGTCTGTAACTGGGAGTTGTCAACCCCCTAGGTTTGGAGGATCTGTTTGATCAGGTTACTTGATAAGCGCGGGTGTAAGTCAGGAACGTTCGGTACGGGGAAGAGATGAAGTTTGAGAGACTCTTGGGGTTAGTGTAGAGTTTGACAGCTGACCATGGCATTTTGCACGAGCACGTCGTGTCCTGGAATGCTGGCCATCACACTATCTTCCGCATGTTAGCGTCGATAACAGAGACATTATTGCTTCTTTGCACTGATTTGGTAGCCCAACGTATCGTCAATCAAGCTTGTCTGATATGAGCAACCTAAATCTCAGCCAAACTCTCCCCCTTCACATTCACGATCCTCACCTTCCCCCCGCCTCTACTCCCAGAAACAACAACAGCCTCATCCACAACCCCCTCCGCATCCCACCCAAAATCAATAACCCCGCCGCCCCGGATCCGCAATCCCTTCACGCTCCCGCCGCCCCACCGCGCCGGGATAGCGGGCCCAAGCACTACCGTCCTCACCTCCTCCGGGGACGCATACGGCAGCGGCAAGTCCACGACAAGCATACCCAACACCGCGCCGCTCAACCCGAAATTCGCATCAATTTGAAACGGTGCCCCCGTGCCAGAATACATACTCAGCCCGTTCTGCGCAAAATTCACATCAACCGCGTACCGGAGCTGGTCGTAGGCTCTTTCCGTGTCATTCAACCGCGCCCAGCACGCCGCGCGCCAGACTTTGGCCCAGCCGGCGTTTGCGTCGGGCGCGTTGCCCCGCCCGCGGGAGATGAGCGTCTCTCGGACGGCAGATTGGATTGTAGCGTTGGAAGCGTAGCCGCCTAGGAAGGAGGAGATGGAGGCGCCCGGGTACCAACCCGTCAGGTGGGATAGGTGACGGTGCGTAGACGGTTTATCCGAGTTATACGGCGCCGACTCGGGGAGTTTCCACTCCTTGAGGCCGCCCCATGTCGCGACGTGGACACCTTTGTCCAGTTTCGCGAGGGACGCGGTGACGGCGTCGAGAAAGTCCTGATCCTCAGCAGAAGCAGAGGGGAGAACAGATGCGCCGAGGAGGGTGTATTCAAAGACTTGGTGGATCATCTGGTGGTAGTGCGCGCAGCCGAACGTCGTGGGGCCGGTTTCCGGGCTGTTGCAGGGGTTGACTACCAGCGTTTCGTCGCGGGAGAAGGCGTCGTCTTGGAGCTGGGTGAGCCAGAAGGCGGCGACGCCTTTAATGAGGGGGTAGCCTTGGGACGCGAACCAGGTTGCGTCGCGGGTGTAGTCGTAGGCGTCGAAGACGTGTTGCATCATCCAGGCTGCTGCTGCTGGGTCTGCCGGGAGTGTTAGTCAGTTCAAGTCTGCTATATGGGAGGGAGAGAAAGGAAAAAGGGGAGAAGGGGGTTAGTTACTTACAATTCGCCCACTCCGCGCCCTCCTTCAGCGCAGTATGTCCAAACACATTCATCTCGTTATGCACAACCCACCCACTAGCATTATAAATCAACCTCGCCGTCTCCGTGCCCCTCGGAACCCACGTATCCTCCATATAATCCCACAGCGCCCCCTGCGTCGCCTCGCCCAGCCCCGTCTGGTCGGCGTGCCAGTAGTTCATCTGCAGGTTAATATTAGCGTGGTAATCCGCGCTCCACGCGGGCCAGAGCTGCTCCGTCCAGCGGCCCTGGAGATTGGCAGGTAAGGAATTTGCACGGGAGGAGGCGATGAGGAGGTGTCGGCCGTAGTCGAAGAGGAGGGCTTCGAGGTAGGGGTCGCCGCCGTCCGGGGTGGTGGAGTCGTAGGAGGCGATGAGCTGGGAGGTTTCTGTTGTGGTGGAGGAGTTGAGGGGGTCTGGGAGGGTGAGGGTGAAGGCGGATTGGAGGGTTTGGTAGTCTGCGATGTGGGAGGCAAGGAGGTCGGAGAAGGGTCTCGAGGAGGCGGTTGTGGAGAGGGATTCGATTTTGGGGCCTGGGTCTGCGCCTTTGAAGGAGTAGGAGGAGGCTGGGTTGCCTTTCTTTTGGTCGTAGTTTGTCTCGGCGCTGATGATGATTGTGAGGGTGGTTTGGCCTGGTGAGGGTGTGACTTTGAGAAGGCCGGAGGATGTGCAATTCGTGATGGCCGCGGACGAAGTCTCGGAGGTGAGTCTTGCGATGGAGTCGAACTTCATGCCCTCCGGCGGACCAAGCTGCGTGACGCCAGTGAAACGGACATGGTCGGCGCCGCAGGTTACGTTGTAGGTATCAGTATCAATGAGCTGGTTCTCGAGACCTATCGTGACGGCGGACAAAGTCGTTGTGCTGTTGCTTGCGGCAGAAGAGGTGACTGCGACGTGGTATGCACATACTTGGTCCGGGTACGAGCAGAGGTTGGTGATTTCGTAGTCTGCCGCGTTTGCGGTGAACGTTGTCGTATGGACGCCCGTTGTGAGGTCGAGGGTGCGTTTGTACGAGGTGTAGTTGCCCACGCCGTTGATTGTGACTGTTAGGTTTGCGAGGACGCGGTTGCCGCCGTAGTTTGCTCCTGAGCCGAGGATGGGGGAGACATCTTCATAATTGTGTGTTAGCAACATGGCACTGACTGAGTCTCGAATGAGATTGTTACCTCCGGTTCCATTTTCAAAGATGAATGAGCGGATCTCTGGAAGAGCGTCGTATTTTGGCTCTGTTGGGTTGCCGCCTGTGTAGTTCTGATAGGAATCATTTTTTAGCAAGATGCTCGCTTCTTTTTTAGATGAGATCAGAAACTCACCGAGGCCTCAAAGGGTCCGCCAGCCCAGAGAGAGTCAATATTCAGGTTGACCTTCTCCGCATGAGGCGGACCAAACGGAATCGCTAGAAGCGTGTCAACATCATAGCCCCGAGTCAATTCAAGTAAACTTTCAAGTCCAGACTCTAGACTCACCCCCGAGTTTGCCATTGCCAATAGGATACCCAGTCTTGAGCAAGTACGTATCCGAACTCGAATCTCCGTACGTCGCAGGGATCGAAGACCACAGAGAGCGAGCCTCGCATACCGCGAAGCTGGCGCAGAAAGTCAGCGCTCGGCTCGTCGACGCCTTCATCGTGAAAGCCACTTGAGGTTTGAGTCCAACTTAACCTACACAGCTCTCCATGGCGAAGGTCAAAATCGTACTTACTTGGCCCCTTTTTAAAAGCCCATTGACCAATCAACCCCGCATTCGAATCATTACATCAATACCACCGAGATCTCGCGTGGTTACGTAGTAAACAGCAACATCACCTCACTTCATCTCGGGGAACGCGGTTGCGTGAGGTGAAGCGGGGAGTCGCCTTGGTGTGGGGTTCGATCTGCTTGGTGCGCGCATGCATACCCGTTGTCCGTGATTTCCCTCCAATGAAGGTCTAAGGTGTCAATGATTTGCAGCTTGCAGTTTTTGCTCCGCTCTGCATGCTCTGTGCCTGGCTCAGTCACAGTGGTTCCCTTGCTATGTGACTTGGCAAATCTATTATGCTTTGGGGTATCCGGTGAAGGGGGTGGTTGATCGACTCCGATTCGGGCCGTTGGGGGGAATCGCTTGCTGCGTGGTGAACTGCGGGGTTGTGAGCCGAGAACAGGAATCTTGGCGCGGAGTTGCTCCAGGACCAACTTACCAAGATGTGAGATTAAGTGATTAATATTGCGCGTAGCGAGTGCACAAGTTGCCTGAGTGCAGTAAGTGTTTCCGCAGTGTTGTAGTATTGCTCTGTCTTACCCCTCAGTGCTGCTGACCCAGGTGGCTGTCTACCTCGTATAAGGTAGGCATTGCCGGACCTCGTGCCAGGCGGCGCCGCGGGGTTGAGGATGCGACGTATGCTAGCAAGTAGGCTCGCGATAGGAGGGCAAGGGGTGTGTGGGACCAGTAGAATAGATGATTTGAGATCAAGTCCTGATAGTCTACAGATCACGGCACTCAACTCAACCTAGATCATTGATAGGGAGGGATGGGGGGTCAAGATGTTAGGCGTCGCGTACTTCCGCAGTGACTTGTGACCAGGGCATTCCTCGTTAATCTTGGAAACATGCAGGCAGGACTCGATATATGAAAGAGATCTACTACCCGCGTGGCATGGATGTACTAACTGTCAGCATCATCCCACCAGTTAAGGTAAGATGACAGGTTCCGCCGGACGATTGACAGTCAAGTAGGGCAAGTTCCTGCGTGATTGGTCCCAAATCGACACTGGAGTATCATCTAGGAAGTTCTCACACATGGTTACGGGAATTTGTCAAATTTGCCTACCAAGACACTCATTGGCAGTTTCCATTGGAAATGCCGTTGCAGCGTCCTGCTGAGAGCATTGAGGCTTGAACTTGTTTGTTATTTCTTTTCGAGTACTCTCCGTCTGGCCGCATATACATGCCAACAGAGCCATGTACTGTACTCTCATCATTCTCTTTCCTTCGCTCACTCACACACACAGACATCCACCCTCCTCCTCAGCTCGCAAAGCCCATGGCCTAGGTAAATACCCAAAAGGGCGGGTTCAATGTACAGTTCCTCCAAGGAAACCCGCACGTTTGGTCCTATATGTACACATCAAGAAAAGGGCGACCCTTCCTGAAGAAAAACAAGACATTATATGAATAGAAAAATGGCACACGCTCGAACAAAGTTTGGATGGGTAAAGGAAAGGTCGTAACAGGAGAGTGACTGGCTTAGCCGGCAACACCAGTGGCGGGGTACCCTATTCGTTCTCGTTAGTATTTGTTTTCGCAATAAAATCCGCAAGGATAACAACTTACACCATGAGCATGTTGCGATAATGGCATACAGACAAATGAGCTGCAGCCCCTCGAGCCAGTGACTCTTGCCATCGGCAATCAGGTAATTGACCAAAAGAACGGCGACAAACAGAACAGCAACCTGGAAAAGGTCGAAGCTGAGCGTCATAGCATCGTTGCCCATACCCCAGCCGATGATGATCAACAACGGAATCAGGAACAGCGCGACCTGCATGGACGAACCGACGGCGACACCAATGGCGAGATCCATCTTGTCCTTGATAGCGACAGTGACAGCAGTAGCGTGCTCGGCAGCGTTACCGACAATGGGCAAGAGAATGAGACCGACAAACTCCTCGCTGATACCGCCCTCCTTGGTGACGTAGTCGATAGAGCTGACCATGGCTTCGGCGCAGAAGGCGATGAGGACGGTGGCTCCGGTGAGAGTGCCGACGGCGACCAAGAAGTGCAGCTGGGGCTCTTCCTCTTCATCCTCCTCTTCCTCGTGACGTTGCATCATCATGCGGCTCAGCTCCTGTCTTTCGTTCTCACTCTCTCCGCGGACACCGGTCTGAGCCATGCGCGCTCCAGTGCCGGCCAATCCGCGAGCAAGAGCGCCTTCCTTCAAGCCGCCGCGGCTCCAGGGCTTGGCGGCGACCTTTTGTGACTCCTCGTTGAAGACAGCGTTGTGAGTCTTGAGCTGGAAGAACAGGTATGAGGCGTAGATAATGAGCAGAATGACGGCTGTGCCGCGGGAGAGAGCTGCGACATGGACGGTGTTATCGGTGCCGTCGTTTTTGTCGAATACGGTGGGTACGATGACGGAGGCAACGGCGAGAGCCAAGAGTGAGGCGGCGGTCTGGGCGACGGTGGTGTTGAAGTATTGCTCGGGTCGGTTAATTCCGCCAAAGAAGAAGCAGAAGCCCATGACGAGCAGCAGGTTGGAGAGAATGGAGCCAATGAGTGACGTCTGCACAATGAGGACCTTCCCTTCGGCCAAGGCGAGAATAGCGACAATGAGTTCGACGGCGTTTCCGAAAGTTGCGTTGAGAAGACCTCCCAATGTCTCACCCGTCCTCAGTGCGATTTCCTCGGTTGCGAATCCCAGCATGGCGGCCAAGGGGATAATGGCGATGAAGTTGACGACGAATACGGCGATTTTGTTGACAGAGGAGACGTAGCTGATGGCGATACCGGCGGGTGCTGCCAAGATCAAGATGTTGATATATGAGCTGAGCAGGGTTCTTTGGAGCTGGTTGGCGACGGTGAAGGGCGTTTTCGGCTGGACGTGTCGGATCATGCCGGACTTTTGCTTCTTGGCTTTGGGCCTCTCCTCCTCTTCTTGCGGCAGGTCCTCGCCTTGAGAGTTTTCCGTCTTTCGATTCCGTACTCCACCGTCCTCGGGCTTGTTCTCAAACATTGTGTCGCCGCTGCCGCTTCCCGTTCCTGATCTTGTCTCCTTGCCCAAGCTGTTGCGTACTGTCTCGGAATCTCTGGGTGCAGGTTCGCTCTGGACGTGATGTATCGCCTCATCGGTTTCCCTCTCTTCCGCGGGCACCTCGCGCTGTGCCTCAAGATTGGCGCCATCCCAGGTGGATCGTTTATGCGGTTGGTTCTCCCATGATACGTGACGGAATGGGTTCCATGTTTGCTCCTGACTCCGGCGACTGAGGCCGTGAGCTTTGCGTTTGATATCGAAGTGGTTGACTGAGCCGATGAGTGACGGCATGGTCAGTTATGTGTTTGCAGCGGGTTGAGCGCTGGCGCTTTGTGCTTGACGGGTGGAAAGGTGAGGCAGGAAACAAATTGGATAGGTGAGGTGAGGTATGGTCAAGGGGAATGGTTCGTTAAGTGAAATAGGGTAATGACGTGAAACTAGCTGTGTGGAGTGCAGGTGGGAATGATTTGTGGAGGCGACGGAGAGAACGGGGGTAGATAGGTAGTGGTGTGGATGAGAGACAAACTGCTCGAGGTCACACTTGACACTCGGCGGTTGCACAGGCAATTGGTGGGAGAGAGATGAGACTAGAGTGGTAGTCTAGAAGATAGTCTCCCACCTGCGAGTGGAAAGGGAGGGAATTGGAGGTAAGGGGGAGTACGGGAAACAACAATAACAATACTCCGTAGAGAAGAGAAACAAATTAACAGAGCTGTGATGTGTGTGTAAAGTGTTTTGCGAATGTTCCTTTGGGCTCTGCTGTCCTGTCCTGCCAAGAAAGACGATGCAACGGTGACTGGGGGCAAGATGGGGGATAGGGGACGGGGGTAGGCGGGTAATGAATGGGATTTCGGTCTTTTGGCTCAAAGTGAAGACTTAGGTAATAAGGGAAGAAAGGTACTCACAGGTGCTCATGCTGTGCTGTGCCGTGTCGCGCCTGGAGGTGACGACGGCTATTTGGGTGGTGGATACGAATGTATTCGTAAGGGAAGGGTGGTGTGTTGGTGACTTGATGGTGTTGGTGGAGTGCTTGGGCTTGTGCTTTTTGTGGCAAAGATCGGATCGCTTCAGATCAGCGCCCAGATGTTGAGACGAAACGCGAACCGAGCTGTGAGTCGGGGTTCTTGTAGTTGCCTTGTTCCGGGGTTCCTCGTTGGTTGGATGGGTATGTCAATATTGAACTGCGGGATGAGAGAAGATGTCGACAATGGTATCGTTGTTGTTCTCTCTTATGGCGCAGATGAGAGCTTTGAGCTTTGGAATTAGATGATCAACTGTGGCGCGGGAGAGAGGCCTCCTTGGCGCAAGTCTTCCGCGTCTGGGGGCCGGGGTGCCGGAGATGAGACGGGTCCAGTCCGATTGACGGTCAGTACTTTGGGAGGTGAAGGGTGAAGGGACTGCAAAATCTGCCAAGCCAATCACTGGTAACCGCAGAGAAGACGCGCAAGCCAAGACCGGTTGCCGCCGCTATGGAGAACAACGGTGCAGCACTGCAGAGAGCAGTAGAGCCTAACTGACGACAACGACTGGGCTCGGCCGGGGCTGTGTGAGGTACTGCGCTGTCGGTCGGCGGTGTGAGGGCGGCGAAGAAGAGGTGAACAAGTGGCCGCGAGCTGTCTGGTTTGGGCCTTTCGCAACGGCGGGTGTGTCGAGGGGAGTAGCGTATATGCAACTAGGTGAGGCAGTGCAAGTGCTTTTTTTTCTCTCGGAAAAGTGGGAAGCAGTACGAGTGCGAGTCGTGTACCAATATCTGTAAGGTCCCTTGAGTATTGACTTGTCGGATGGATTGGCCTTAGTCAGCTCGAGATGGGACGGTTGATGGCTGAGCTCTCAGAGTTTATGTTTGATGGTCGAGGTGTGAGACTCGGTGGTGAGGGTGAAAGAAACAAAGTGTGAGAGATGAGAGGGACGAGGGATGATTTGGAAGAGAAGAAAGGGGAGTGAGGGAGCTTTAGCTAGTTCTTGGCCCCTGGATGGCACTAAGATGAAAATCGTCACGGTCCCATGGCGACCACAACATTAACCATACTCAATGAGAGAGGCGGGAGAGAGACGAGTGAGCGACGGGAGATGAGAAGATGGCGCTGGATGGGCTGGGGGCGTTTCACAGTGGCAGGCCCTACGTCAGATCCAGCTGTGTAGGTACTCCGTGGACCGTAGTGTGTCCTACCTAACCCTACCTTATTTTGTTTGCATATGCACCGCGACAATACCAATAGTAGGGAAGCGCCGTTGATTGCAGCCATCCACCGATGCGCAGACGCTAATTTCCCTGAATCGACACCTTCCATTCTCATTTGAACATTTCTCCCTCATCGTCCCTGCCCGATACCACACACAAAGTGACCACGCAACCTACGAAGGATGTGAGAAGTAAGGAAAGTAGCAAGCGAATGGCAGCTTCCCTTCTGTTTCTCGCTCCTCCCCAATGCCAGATAGAGAGTGATGAATGGCAAGAGCAACTGCTGAATGAGTCGACTCTGTGACTTCCCTTTCACGTCTGTAAAGCGGGGCAATGGATCCCGTCCCTGCCAATTACGGCCCCCCTTTCCTCCGTGCCTTTTCAACTTCTCCCACTTCCCTTGCCATTTACCGCCAGGTACCTACCGTCAGTGTTTATTGTCCCTTCCATCGAATAAACTCCCTGCGGATGAAATCCGTCCAATTGAGCCATCGTGAACAACCATCCAAACAGCATCCAGACAACGTCCAGGCGCATCTCGGACACGACGTGCAATGTCGTCACAACCCCGGTGACGTGCCAAGCCGACGCCACGCCTCTCGAGTCTCCCCAAATCCTCCAATCCTACCCTGCACAGCAAAACAAGACACGACGGCACCAAGTGCGCGCCCAAAACAAGCTTCTGCCAAGCCCCATTCTTGCCAAGCATCAGAACACAAGACTTGCCAAGGCGGTCACCAGTCGATCGCATCGTCTTGGCTATTGCTTCTTCATATTCACCAGCCTGAGACTACGGTATTGTCTTTCGTCAGTCTGGCACTTTTCTCGAATCAATCTAGAAGGAACCAAGAAAGAGTAGTCAAAGTTCACCTGCATACAATGGAATCACTCGCTGAGTCGCATCATCGTCAGGTCAAATCCATTCAGACTTCGAAGTGTGGTGGGTGGGGCGCACAATGACATCAGCCACCTGCACTCAACACCCAACTCAAATCGTTCCCCAGGCCAGCCACACCTTTCTTTCTTCTACTGCGTAGGTACCTTACCTACATAAACTCGGGACTGTCTGACATCCAGACCGCAACACCGCTTCGAATCAGGTAAAACCACCTCATACTTTCCCAATACCCCATCCGTGACAAGGGGTGGAACAGACAGTTAGACAGCTGGACCACCAGCTGCCACTTAACCTTTTGCCTCATTCAGGCACGCTCGCCCACCGCACCAAGAATGACGGGTTCCAGACCAAGGTAGATCCCATCCCCCATCCCAAACCTATCCGAGTCTTTGGGGCTCCTGGTTTTGTGTCCGGCCGGAGAGTGTGCTTACTATGCGCCCACCGCCCTCCTCCGGCATCTTCCACTCTCTGCTTCTGTATCCATAATCTTGTCCGGTTCGCGATTTGAATCGTTACGCGCCCACAAAGGAAAATGCCCCGGCATTGCAATTAAACTTCACTCAGCCCCTGTAAAGCCACACCTCGGTACGGAACCCGCACGGGAAGTGGTGTGTGGCTTGGGCAAGGCACATACCGAAAGTCAATTGGCATCACCGACAAGCCACCCCCCGCTTCCCGAAAATCACATGACGCCTTGTCGACGCCACCTGGCCGGCGACTAAATCTCCGACCAGACGCCCCCATGTGGCGCAGCAACGCCTGCAGAGTGCAGATTCCAGATCCCAGGTTTTTGGTCTGCACAGCTGAGCCACACATCACCAGCGTAAACATCAACTTCCCCTCGCCGCCAGGCCCAGTCCTCACTTGATTCGGTAGCAATATTGCTCATCATATCATAAGAGGCAGACAGTGTGAAATCATGATGGTCTCCAGCCTTTGAGTCCCTGTGATTCGTGATCTGGAAGAAGGGATCAACGTAGAAGCCATTAGGTGAGATCATGACGCTGAAAGTGACTGGCTGGTGGGTGGGCTACCTTGGTCAGCTACATCCCACGACTTACATGATGACCATTCGCTTTGGCAAAGCCATCGCGTAGCATTCAACTCCGAAAGTGAGGCGAGAACCTGGTAGACCCTCTCAAAGGTAATCATGATCGTGCAATAGAACGTGCAGAGGCCCTAATTCGACAAATATAGACAGATGTAGTGAAAGATAACACTAGTACTATGTTCATGAGCTTCATAATCATCTACACAGAAAAACACCAATATACACTATCCACACAGTCACCTCACGACCATCTTCCACTATCACTCCCTCTCTCTCTCCCTAACCTCCCTCCTGGGGCCCCCACCCCCCAACCCAAGTCCATCCTGCACACTCGCCCTCCTCAAGAACTGCATCCCCGCAGCCGGACTACTCATCAAGCTCCTCGGCCCCGGACTCGGGCTCCCGCCACCAATATGCAACCCCCGGAGTCCTTCCGGTCCACCTCCACCTCCATACCCAAGCCCACCACCACCACCAGAATGCAAATCCCCAAGGACACCCGCCGGCAGCCCCAACATCGGAATACTCGCCTCCGGCACAGCCTCAAGCCCAACAACAGTAGGTCTCATCGCTCCCGGCGTAGTCATGGCCTGCGGCGGGCCCCGCTCCAGCGTCTCCTTGTAGAATGCCTCCAACCCCGGTCCGTCGTTGCAAAATGCCTCGAGCTCCGTGAGAATCGGGATCGGGTCCACCGCGGCCGTTGTGTTTGCTGCCGCACCACCAGAAGGTCCGCCAGAAGCGCTGGAACTTGCTCTCATGTCCGATGCCCTCACCGCAGGCGAACCACCACCGACACCACCGCCACCGCCCCCGGCATAGAAAACGGGCTTCACCATCGGACTGCTCATCGGCGTCGGCTCCGGGATCCCAAAGGGCGTGTACGAGCCCACGGGTATAATCCTGCCCCCGCGCTCAACGACAGTATTCGCACCACCGCCAGTCGGTCCACCAACACCACCACCACCACCGCTATTAGCCTCCCTCAAATCCTTGAGCTCCTTATCCCTCGCCGTCCAGGCCCGATTACTAAAAAGCCGGTTGGCCAGCACAAGGAAGTGTCCCTCGTCCGTGATCTCCGCCAGCAGCACCCCGGACCGGTGGATATACTGCGAATACTTGAAGTCCGGCCGGCCCCACGAGTACCTCACCTCGACGTCACGCGGGTAATTCGACGCGGCCTCCATGTCGAGCACAAAGTCGAACTTGCGCATCAGCACCTTTTGGTAAAAGTGCTTCCCCGGCGCCGTCTGCGGCGAGAACGAGTTGGGCTCGTAATACGTCACCGGCTGCTGGCTCGGCGGCGGCACCGACAGCTTGATGAGGTACGGCCTCCGGAAGGGGTTCACCTCCGTGATGGAGCACGCTTCCTTGATGGGCACCTCGACCAGCCGCAGGCCGTACGTCGCCGCCTCGCGCGCCCAGCCCTCCACCACGTCCTCGATGAGCTTCGCCGTCACGTTCATCCAGTCGATGCGGATGTGGTAGCAGTTGTCCGGGTTGTGGAGGCGGTCGTAGTGCAGGTCGACGCGCTCAGGCCGGTACGACCGCTTGCGGTGGTCCACGTCGTACTTGATGACTTTGCTGAGGCAGACCTTGGGCACCTTTTTGTTGCTAAACATGACAGAGTACGCCGTCGGGGTGGTAGCGCCCGAAATGGGCGAGTTCTCCTCGTTGATAGACGTCGGCCGGGAAATCATGCCCGGCCGCGGCGAGTCGCGCGGGACGTTCTCCGACATGGGCGTCGAGGGCACAGAGACGTCGCGGCCACGGCGCGAGTTGAACCAGCCGGGAGGGTGCGGTTTCGCGTACTCGGTAGCGATGGTGTAAAAGTACTGTCCGTCCCTAAACACGTGCCGGCGCTCAACGTGCTCAAACAGCCCGCCGCGGTCCTTCTTGTCATCCGACGGCCGGTCGTACGTCTTGACCATGAGCATGTTGCCCAGCTGCTCCGCCTCCTCGCGGCTGTCTAGGTCCTCGAAGTTGTCCATGAGCCACGTCGTCATGTCGGAGCCGATGAAGCAGTTGTAGTGCAGCCGCAGATGCCACCGTCGGTTCTGCAGCTTGACGCCGCCGTTCTCGACGGGCTGCTGGATCGCCTCGGCCAGCGCCGAGAGATTCAAATTGGACTTGCGAAAGTGCTCCCGGCTCGTGATGAGCTGTCCCTTACGGTTCTCGCCTAGGCCCTCCACCAATGGTAAGTTGTCGAGCTCGGCCGCGATGACGACGGACGGGTCTTCCGTCTTGTACACAATGTCCAGGGGGTTGGGATCGCGCTTCGACTTGGCCGTCTGGTATCTCCGCTCGAACGGCGGGATGTAACGGTGCTTTTGCCACGATAGCGACAGCCTTCTGATTCCTTCCAAGCGCACCTCCTCGGCGTTGTCGCCGGCCTGGTTCCTAGGCACCGCCGACGATCGCGACACCATGGGGATGAGCACGAACCGCGTCCTCCAGAACCTCAGGTTCTCCGTCATCTCGTCGTGGTGGCCCGCGAGATACGAGTCAATGTAGTTCCAGTTCCTCTCCGGTTTCGGCGTGGATATGTCAACCTCCTGGGTCCGGTACCCGCTTTCCATCAACGTGCGGATCGCCGGCCTGTACAGCGGGCCGGAATTGGAGTTCCCAACCGTCAGCTCGGCCGGTTTGCGTATGTAAATGTTGACCTCCACCTCCGTGCCATTAACACACGAAAGCTGGTGGATCGTGTTGCCCACCGAAAGGAAGATGCTCGTACCGTCCTCCATCGCCTGGTCGCGTGAGAATATGTCGGCAATTCGCAGCAGCCTCTGCCCAAACGCCTTGGCGACGGACGGGCCAATGACCACTTGGAACCCTTGCGAGAAACGGAGACTGATTAATTCCCGCAAGAACTCCTCTCTCGATTTCGGCTCTTCTGTAAGCTCATCATCGGCGTTCTGCGCGATGACATACGGCTGTCTCTGGTACTCCGTGTCAAACTGTGACTTTGAGGGAAAGTACTCGGTCGTGAGCGGCACGGCGGCCGGACAGCACAGGGCCTTCCACTTCATGACCTTCATCTCCGAAGTCCGGGGGAACACATGCTGCCACCGGCTGTAGAGCACCGTGTCGTCCACCTTATTCCTGTCCGGGTTCGACGGGTTCAGCACCGTGAGCCAAGGCGAGATGGCCGTGGTCGGTGACAACGTAGACGGCAGCTCGGGCATAGCACCGGCGCGCAGCTTACTATTGAACATTTTCTGATTGTCTTCCTCTGCCCTGAACACGTGAGAGTTCCTCTGATCGGGGTCTTCCCGAAAATGGTCCTTGCGCGCCAGCGACGACGGCAGGACGGTCCCGTACCTATGCTGCTGGCCGATCGAGCTCTCGCCCCGGCGTGAAGAGGACTTCATGTTGATTGGTATGCTCGGCGTCGAGGGCAGGTCCTTAAGGGTATCGCGCGAATCTGACCGGAACAGCTGCGGCGAGAACGAGGACATGGCCGTCGAAATGCTCGGCTTGATGACCTGCGGCGACGACGGGCGCGGCATCGTCGACATGACCAGCGGCATCGTGGGGCTCGTCACGCTCTGCTCCGTCGACGCCTTGACTGTCTCGAAGCTCGCCTCCGCCGCCACCACCTTGGGCGCCGCGATACCGAAGCCCCGCAGGCCGAGACTGATCTGCCGCATAAACCTAGGAGGCTTGGACGGCGATGCCACAGACATCTTACCCGCTACGCTGTGGGAATCGGGGGTCGTCGACGAGGAGGTAGAGGACGACGTCTGATTAGATGACGTCCCTGCCGCTCCCGACGACGGTGCCGCCGGTGGATGATTCGCAGCCTTCCTCGCAGCGGCCACGATCTCCGCCTTTTCGCTATCGACAATGTTGACCGATAACTTGCGCCCCGCCGTCACAGCCGCAAGGCTCTGGTTCGGCACAATCTTCTTCTCGGGCAGCGACGTCCCAAACAGCCCCGCGTCCTCCATCAGCTGCCGCCTCGTCGTCTCTTCTAGGTCTCTCGAGGCCCTTGCTTGCGCAGGGCGCCGCGACCTCGGCAGTCTCGCCCTCGTTTCGTCATACTCCTGCAGCTGCTTCCACAGCGACTTCTCGCCCGGTTTCACGAGCCTGTCGGGCATGAACTTTTGGAACCCATACACGTGGTCAACAAGCGTGTCCTGGTGGCGCTTCAGGGGTATCATGGCGATCTCGTCTGTCCCGCTGAGCCGCGACCGCAGTGAGCTCTTAGACTCGGTCGTCGTCACAGGGAACAGCGGGTCGGCCTGAAGCGGTGTCGTCTCGATCTCGTTCGTCTCCAAGACGCTGCGCATCTGAAGATCATACATCCTCGCGCGGATAGCAAAGTCTTCGCTCTCCTGGCCCTCCTTGTCCTCGGACACCGAGAGGGCGATGCCTTGATACGACAGCGCCTCTTCGGATGTCCCTGTCCAGTAGGAGACGTGCAGCCACTGGGGCACCGCGTACGACCACTCGTCCTGCGGGTTCGCAAGCCTGTCGATGCGGTGGGCGAGCTCTAGTCCTTTTGTCGGTGACAGCGACTCGGCCACCGACTGGTAACTGCCGATGATGGGCGTGGCCTGCTGCTTCGGCGTGCTCTCACGGCTCCGTACGGACCTCGATCTCGACAGGCCGTGCGAGCCCTCCGAGGTCTGCGGGTTACGGTACCGGAACAGTGGGACGGAGTGGAGTGGCATCTTTGGCACGCAGATGAGGTCGATGCCGATGCCGTTTCCGACGAGGGCCTCGGTGGTCCGCCGCAGAGATTCGTACTCGACCTCGAAGACGCCGGGCCCGGGGCTGATGACTACAATCGAGATGCCCGTCCGCATTAGGTCGCGGTCGACGTAGTCATGCGCAAACTGGGACGAGGCGAGGTTGATGGCCTCTAAGAAGTTGCCGTACATGGCCAGCGACGACTCAGCCTTGACGCGATTGGACGCAATGCCCTTGCCGCCGTTCTCCTCGGCCAGCGGCACGAACGCGCTGTTGGCCTTTTGGTGGTGCAGGCTAATGTCCCGCCTGAAGAAGTTGAACTCGCGCTTCAGCTGGTTTAGGATCGTCGTCCACTCCCCGCTCGCCATCTCGCTGACGACCACGCGGTAAAAGTCCTTGTACGGCCTGCGGTCGCCCGATATTTGCACGCCCGTGTAGTAGTCCCCGTGCAGGGTGCTGCTCGCCAGCTCCGTCGTCAGGCCCGTGTCGTATTCCACCCTCGCGAAGAGCACGATGCTCACGAGGTGCTTGGCCTTGAGCTTGGCCCATTTCTTGAACAGCGCCGGCAGGAAGCCGTTGACGACCTTGTTGAAGAGGATCTCGCCGGACCCCTCCGAGTCGAAGTCCCACATCTCGCGCGCCATCTGGATGAACAGCACGTACCTCGCCGACTCGCTTCTGAAAATCGGCCTCGTGTTCCTCGTGAAGAAAGCCGAGTGCGTCTTTCGCCCGTCTACGAATACCGCCGTGACCTGCGCTTTTATCGTGCCCATGAATAGTATCGACTGGCCCTTGTAGACTGTCCTTTCTGTGAGTTCGCCGATGGCCAGGCGCCACATGTCGGATCGCGACAGATACTGGTCCTTGAACGAGAGCTCGACATGTGAGGCGGCCGTCGCGGGGTTATCAGCGTCCACCGGCGTCAAGAGTACCTGCGTGCCCTTCTTCATGCCGAATGCATCTGCGATATGCTTGACGACGTAGATGTCAACGTTGGGCAACCGGCTCTTGAGCTCCTTGGACATTTCCTTTGCGACGCAAAAGTACCTTTTCCCCAGCGTCGCCCCCTCGGGCGCCGCATCGCCTTGTCCCGCTCCCGCACCGGTGTTGTTCGCAGAGTTCCCGCCGCGCGCCGTCGCATGGTCCTTTGTCGCAGTCTTATCGCCCTCCGTCTTGATCACGGTGATGGCCACGAGGCTCCCGGGTCTGACATCGCCCTTGATCACCTCCGGGCTTAGGAGCACCTCGTCGCGCGAGTATCCCTCGTTAACGCCTACGGTGCACCTACGCTCGAGGCGGCGCTGTTTCACAGAGCTGGACGAGTTGTCGCCGCGGATGGTCGAGGCACTGGAGACGGTATCGGGGGATCGGGGCGAGTCGACGGACGATGTCGCGGAGGGCGGTTCGAGGCTACTTCGGCTGAACTGTCGGAGGTGAGAGGACCAGTTGGGTCCCTTGCGCAGGGATGGTGCCGCGCCAGCATTGCGAGGCATCGTGGGAGCAGAGCGTCGTGGTGGTGATGGTGTTAGTGGGGGAGGGGAGAGAGGGCTGCTTGTTGCGCGACGAGGGAGGGGCTCGTCAACGGTGGCCTGTGTGGAGGTTTCGCAGTAGCATTTCGTTGCTTGCGCTCGATTATACTGAATCTATTCGTATGTATCGGTGGTAATGGGATTGTGAACCTTGCGAATGGCTTCAATCGGCTGTAGTTGAAAATCCCAGGTGGAGCGTAGTGGCATCGTCACAAGGTGCAGCTCCGTCGCAACGGCAGAATTGTGGCGCCGAGCTCTCACTATGCCACACCGCCTGCCGTTTTGACTTTGACAATCCCCAGATTCTTGACGCTCGCATCTCCCAGGGTCTCACCTGGTCTCAATTGACTGCATCCAATCTGAGACCCGCGACCTGTCATCGTCTTCGTCGCACAGCAAAACGGATTTCTTTGGAAGGGGACTCGTTTCTGAATCAAACTCGACATGTTACTTCCAATACTCCTCTTAGACCAGAAGTCAATTGCTCTGACAATCCTCGCTAGAGACTACTGGTTAACTTACCTATTCGTATAAGTCAAAAAATGCAAGGAATTGCTTCCAGTTAGACACCCGACCTTTTTTTTCTGTGATCCCACTGCCTCATAACTCTTAGTCAATTTGACCTCTTCTCGGTTCATCACCACAAGCTCTTGTAACAATGTAACTGGACACGTCAACTCAGCATCAAACAGGTATTCATTGAAGCCTGTTCACCGAGAGCAATTGACAACCAACTCGTGACACCTCCAACTAATCCAAAGCAAACACTCTGATACCCTTTCGTCCCCGCCAAGGAGGCGCATCACACAAGTGACAACGCAGCTATCCGAATCGATGCCACCAAGTCAACAGCCAGCCTTTCGTCCTACTCGCCTTCCTACAAAAGTCTCAAAAAACCTATTCCATAATCCCAGTATGAACGGGCGAAGCTGCGTAATGCCTAGAAACCTACGAGTCATCAGCCCCAAACTTTGTTTACAGAACAGAAACAACCTCCGTGCTTCCTTTTCCTTTCCTGCGTGAGTATGTAACACCCCGGCCCGGGACGGACACATCTGTCTTGTGTCCGTGTGCCCCGAGTCTTGGGGAAATGACCTGGTTGTGCGAGACTCATCCGTCTTTGTTTGTGATTGTACAACCGCTGTTCAAAGCCATGATCCATTGATAGAAACAAAAGAAAATCTCAACTCAAGAGTGGCTTAACGTTACTCTTCTTGCCGATGTCGACTCTTCCCCCTTTCTATTGCTTTCATTGACATTCAAGTCAAATATTTGCTGGAGCCCCATGATAACTACCCTCGGACGTGAAAAGGCCCAACGATCATGTCTCGGTTCAAGATCAGCAAAAAGCAGCGTCTTGTTGCCACAATCGCAATATCCGGCGGTTTCTTCATCGCAGAGCTGGTCATTGGATACCGCACAAAGTCCCTCGCCCTCATAGCAGACGCCTTTCACTATGTATGGCAACTACAGCCAACGCCCTCTAATCCAAATGTTAGGTGCATTATATCTAATAAAACGATATAGATGAACGATCTAATAGGATTCGCCGTGGCCTTGATAGCAGTGATTGTAAGTCCTCCCTGTTCAAACCTCCACGACCTTCTTCTTGAATCCGAATAAACCACATCTGAACTGAAGACTGATGTACCAAAAGGTCTCAGAGAGGGAGATCCCTCCGCCCAAACACCTGACCTTTGGCTGGAAGCGCGCTCAAGTCCTAGGAGCCTTCTTCAACGGCGTGTTTCTCCTTGCGTTGGGCGTCAGCATCCTCCTTCAAGCCGTTGAGAGATTCACTCAACTTCCCCGTGAGCTCTCTCCCTCTCCCATAGCGCCAACATCATAACCCTTTGGTAGATAAATTAGCTTTGGGCTGATATTGTGGAAAATCGATATAGATGTCGAAGATCCCGTATTGGTTCTCATCATGGGCTGCATCGGCCTCGCACTCAACATCATAGTCCTGAGCTTCCTCCACGGTGAGCAGCATCCTCAGCCAAACCACATACAACGAATCCTGACCCCAAGACACAGAACCCCACCACCAGGAACACGTTCAAGAAACCAGACACCCTGACGACGAGTCCAGAGACCCTCCCTCGCCCGCCAACACACCATCACCAGCTCCAACATCTCCCAAGCACCACAACCACAACCACACCCGCGACCTCAACATGCTAGGCGTCCTCCTCCACGTCCTAACCGACGCTCTCAACAACCTCTCCGTCATAATCGCCGCCCTCATCATCTGGAAATCCTCCTCTCCTAATCGCTTCTACGCCGACCCGGCCACCGGCATCTTCATCGCCTTTACAATCGTGCTCTCCGCCGGCCCCCTCTGCCGGCGCGCGGGCCAGATCCTGATGGAGAGCGTCCCTGCGGGCGTTGACGTGGAGTTTGTCCGGGGGGAGATGCTAAAGGTAAAGTAGTCTACCTTCTATATTGTTATGTACTTTACCGCCTTATGCCTCAACGATCAGAGATGAGGCGGCACTAAAATGCATGTATCTTAACTTGTGTAGGGGGGATATGAATGCTGGAAGCAGGGTGATATGTAAAGAGCAAAGCGGAAAGACTGACAAGTAGTCCTCAGGTCCCTGGAGTCCAAGACGTCTCGAACCTACTCGTCTGGCAACTAGATCAGACAACGACCCTCGCAACAGCACACATCTCCGTAACGGGAAACGGCATCAGCAGCTTCGCGTCCACGGCCGATGCTGTTGGCTTAAGATTACAACAATTCGGAATCCGCTCCGTCGCACTGCAGCCTACCACCACGCAACGACGGTCAGGCCCACCGGTCCAGGAAGATATAAAGGCTCCTTGATGCTCATGTCCGAGATAAGGTATGGAATTGGGGGTAGCTAGCCTCCCACGGCTAGTGAGATGGTGCTTGAAGCAAGGAGGTTGGACCGGAATGTGTAAGCCAGTTCCACGTTAAGTTGGATTTGTACACCCACCATTTAAACCCCTTCGCATGCAAGCATACACATGACACCCTACGGAGAGATTCTCTCCCAGTTTGGGTCAGGACTTATTCTCGCCCACGACTTAGTACAACCCCCCCCCCCTAAGCCTCACCAAAAGACACCAGCCAATCCATCTCACATTTCACACAATGACAGGAAATCACACAGACGCCCGCACGTTGGAGGTAAGACTGCTGCCTGTATGCATACAACTCCCACCTCCGTCACACAACGGAGAAACGTCATCGTCATATCAGAATACTGAAACCTCAAAGATGATGTGAGAAAAGAAAAGAAAAGCCTTATCACCTTACAATTCCCAAAAAATGTTGGCACTGCCTCATAGGCAGAGACCTTTACCACATCAAATCGCATCAAATCAAATCAAACAATCTCCCTGCTGAAGAATCGATACGACCACGTCCTTTCGGCAAGGTCACATCGTTGATCCCCCCCCCCCGGTCCCGCCTATCTGCCTCGCTAGTAATGTGCGAGAAGACTCCCGTCCAACTCGTTGTCCAGTCAGTCCGAGTAACATGAACATGGATAACATCATCACCATGCTCTCTCACCGAATCATTGGTAATGCCCGGGGTTCTGGGACAGAGTCACAAGACGGAGCCTTGTAAGACCAGGGTAGCAATAGCAAAACGGCACAGAGAAAAAAAAGCTACGTCTTGCAACGGAAGTGTCTCGCCTCACTCAGCTGGCGCTTTTGCAGTCACCTCTCCTAAATCCAATGCCACAGAAAGGCGAACCAGATTCCAAAATCCGATAGAGTATCTTAACAAAGATTCCAAGGACACCAAGCTGAGCTGAAAAGGAAGGACAAATCATCTACCCACCTGACCACACCACCCACCACATAACACACCCAGGGCGGCGTGGGGACGTGCCAAACTCGATAAACAATCGCATCGAAAACACATTGGTCATCGCCATTCTGCAATGCTATCGCCTCATCGCTAGCGCTATCTCTCACCATGGAGATTTATTTGATATCGCCGTCCCGATACCGTGGTAAGCGGTAAAGCCTGGACTCCTCTGCGGGGGACGGGAACCCGCCCCTCGGACGCCCCCGAAATGGCGTGGGGTGGAACCAACAAATCTGCCGAAAAGTGGGATGCATGATTGCATCCATGACATTAATCCAGAGGAAGGGAAACGTTGCAGAATGATGCTGCATTTTCCCAAACGGCAGAAATGCAGAACCGAGATCGACCTTGGCGGCAATGGTTCCTTGGAAACGATGCGATCCCAAGGATCCGAGGTGTCCTCGGTTGCTACATTTCCACCTACGACTCTGTGTGTACACGGTGGAAGTGGCCAGGGAACCGAAATCATAGGCTGGCGATTCCAAGGTCAGCAAAAGTACCGGTGTGTCCCGCACCCTCACATCGGTCTCGAGCCATGGCGCCGGACCCCGGGCCGAGTACGACGGGACAGTCCGATGCTGACATTCACCCAGTACCTTTCGTGCCCTATGAGTCAAAGATTAGTGTGTTAGTCTGTTTGGCTGGGCACACCACAGGAAGCGAGAGTGCGACAGGAGAGCAATAATGTGTGGCCCTATCAGCCGTTCGGCTGCGCTAATCCTAGGCATGCAGAACTCGACTGCCTGTTGCATACATCCCATCATGATCGCTCTTCAAACTTGCGGGAGCGCGAGATATGTTAGCTCCAAAAGCCGTTGTAATAACCGTCGGGAACGCTACCATGATCCATGGCTGCTGACACCCCCTAGACATGTAACTGACATGCCACTTTGAGAAAGATCGTCGCCATCACCGCCGTGTGTAAGCCGGGCTGGCCCGGCCCGCGGACTGAACGAACGGGGAAAAACGAGCCGAACAATGATACCTATGGGCAAGCAAGAAGGATGGTGGGAGCTGGCCGTCGGTCTCCAAAATGGCAAGGTTGGAGAAATCATCGGAATTATCAGGGACAAACCATCAACCGTTGAGACACGAGACGACGGTCGGTTGTTGCCGGTAGGTGTGGCGAACACGCTGCAATAGATACATTGAAAGTAGGTACAACCAAATTTCTACTCCAATCTGCGAGAATTTCGAGTAATTCGTCGGCTCTTCTGGATAACTGGCGAGTTGCTAGTTCCGAATTGCTACGAGGCCATAGAAATCGCAGACTTTGGTGAGATGGGGCCGACGACAGCAACGGACGCAGATTGACAACATCCCGAACGAAAGAAGACCACTTCACGGCTGATGTCACTGGGATGGTGAATACGGGGAACCGTTCCGCCGGGTGTGCTCAGTCGCATGGCCATGTCTGAGAATTAGGATGGTGAATGGACCGACCGATAGGGGTTTCCCTTTACCCCGGCGCTGGACACACCGCTGCCTCTTTGCCGGGCTTAGGTGGCCAATAACTGATAGCTTATTACCTGGCATGTTGGAAAATGAGATCATACCGCGGCCTTATCAATCAAGAAAGTTTGTAGTGTAGCTTCGCGGTCTTGGGAGTTGGATATCGGTGAGGCAGGCTGCAACGGGACTTTTTTGCGCGAGAACGCCCGCTTCGACGCGTGGATGCTTCCGGATGCCGCTTGACATCTGCGGCTTGTCCGGGAGATGAGAGGAAGCAAACCAGGCAGCAGGATCATAGCATGACCCGGTCGAGAAGCCAAGGTGAGGCTTGCTGTGTTAATGAGCGTTTTGCAAGGACAAACCGGCCGGCGACGGAAGACTACATACGACCCCCGGTGACCCGTGCGTTGGGACACTTTTCGCAACGGCGCGCTTGCGGCTTTGCTGGGCAGCGAGTGCCCCAGGAGCCTGGGAATTGGGCTGAACTTTGAAGCGGCCCCTGAGATAGACAGCCCTGAGAGAACTTGGTTGCCCGATTGTCGAGGATATACAAGTTGTGCCTCGTTAAAGGTGCGGATCATGAGCATCAGGCGGGACAGCGCCGGGGTGCATGATCGAGTGCCTATCGTGGAAGGTGTATCCAGCACCGCAACCTGATCGGCGGGCCCTTGATTGGCGCAGGTAGGTCGTTTCGCTTGGCTGGAAGTACGGAGTAACCACAAGCAACGAACCTCTGGAAAGGGCCGATGTGTGTCAAGATGGATGGATTTGGCGAGGATGTCTGCTGCCCGGCGGGGCGGTGCGTGTGTCCATACTCCATACTCCATGAATCCGTATCACTTCGTATGGGAGAAGCTCGGTTCGATTTGCGCCTCGCGTCGCGGTTGGAGGTGTGGTTTGAGGCTAACAAGAATAGGTGTGCGACGGTGCGACCTAGAATGCGATCCATGGTTATGACGCTGTTCAGCGATAAAGTGCTGGCAGTCGAATTTCAAGCGAACACATGGCGACTAGGACAGCCACGCCAAGTTCCCGTGGAAGACGCAGCTGTTAGCTTGCAGCTGCCCTACGTTTATGTGTCTCATCTGCAGCCTGTGCTGCATTTCAACTTGGCACTGGCGCATGGAAAGGCGGCGCCTCTATTCGTAGGGGTCCCGACACATCGCCGTGGCGGTGCTACTCGAGACCAGTACGTGTACTGGGCGGGCTTTCTGGTGTCACCTGGTGTGTGACTCAAGACCTAGACGACGTGTTTTCATAGTAGTTGGTCTCTTTCAGAATACGACCAACAATGATCACGTTGCCCACGGCACTGGCCAGAAGAAGCTCCCGGGGATGACCGTGAGTGATAGTCATTCTAGGTTCCGGTTCCGGAAGCCGGACAGAAGGCACATACCCTGCTGAGTTTGGGCAACGTTAGGTCGCTGGTCTGTGAGTAGCAATAAGGGAAGGTCGGTGAAGCAGTCGCGCGTCGAAAAGGGACGTGCAATTAGGCTGCTGGACGCACCGAGGTCCTTGGCTTGACAAAAGCGAGCATGGGAAAGCTTGATGGCAGAATGGTTGGGCGGCCGAGGCAATATGGCAAACGGAGGCCGGAAAAAGACGCGGTGAGTTTGTCGGGATGACGGTGCGAGTGTCGACCCCCTGTGTTGATGGCTTGTCGCAGTGATACGCTGGTAGATGATGCCTGTCGTATGGAGGTACATACGTGCCTCTTGGAGAAGATAGGTATATCCTGGAGCCTTGTTGGAGAGTGTTGGACCGGTGATTCGAACCCCAAGGTGTCGGTCTCTCACCGAGGAGTGTAATCTCGCTGAGCGACTGGAGTCTGGGGTCTGGAGCTCCGCGCCGTGCGCTGTCATTGTAACCTGATGGATGTTTCTTATCGGCCAGACGCTCGGTCGTCCGCCCCAGACCAAAACCAGCATGAGGGGATTCCACCTCTATCTGGGACTTGTGGTGCTGCTCCACGCTGCAGTCATGTCGAACAGCAACATGGTCAACGTTGACTTGCATCGCTTTGCCCTCGCGCCCCTCCTTTTTTGGACTGTTTGGACCCGTGAACATTGTTTCCTGTGGCCGTGGAGGGGCTAGCTACGGCGGGGTGGGAGAGGACAACTGTTGAGCTGGAGTAATAGCGAGTGATGAACGGGGCGGTGGCGGGCAGACGAGGACATGACGAGCAGTCATTAGTCGTCGGGAACAGGACCCTTTTGCCAGCGACTGATGTAACTTGGGGAATACCTATCTATCAGCGCAGCAGGGGTATGCTAGGTCCCGCTGGCTGTTCGTGGTGGGTACCCGTAGGAGAGTGACAAGCAGGCAGAAGATTTACGCCTTGTTGCTAGGGAGGCGTGAGCGCAGAGATTGGGGGAGGATCAACGAGGTCCTTCGGGGTCGGCTCCGAGAACGAGTTGCTGGCGAGTGAGTACTGGCATGTAATTCGTCGAGTGACCTGAGGTTGTAGGTTAGACTCTATGCCCTGTTTCTACCAACTCTGACCGTCGTGGGAAGTTTGTGAGACGAGGTATCGCAAGGAGCCCGTCTCTTTGACGTAGTCAGTGCCCAAGTGAAGTTGAACTTGGTTGTGTATGTCTGAAGTTGGGCTGTACCATGGAACAAGATGATGAATGCTCCCTCGGTGGCCTCAAATGACCGGGGGAAGAGGCACGGACAAGACGACGGGCGCAAGAGAATGACAAGCGAAGCGAGAATAGCCCAACATGATCCAAGTTGATTGACACCAGCGTCGAGGTCTTGAGGGAATAAACTTGAGCCAGGGACAGATGAATGCTGATGCTGGTTCGGAGAGTTACGGTCAGCAGTAATGATGGTTGTTGTCGTCGTCTTGGAGAGCAGGGTCGCCAATGATGCTCTTTTGTTGACGAGAGTGAAACCTCGAGGTAGGATTAATGCAAGGGGTAGCCGATGGAAACAGACAGGGCTGACGAGGCAGAGAGGAAAAGACTGGTGCGCAAGAGAAAGACAAATTCGACGTGGGATATCGGAGACATTCAGAATGGTACGTACTGCGTAGGTGTTGCCGTATGGACAGGAGAAGAAGTCACGGAGACAATGGAAACTCGGAGGAAGGAAGGAAGGAAGGAAGGAAGGGGTCGCATAGAGATGGAATTAGAAGACAGCGGATTGGATGACGGCAGGCACAGCCGAAGATATTTGGGGCTTTTTGGACCACCCGTGACCCGGGATGCTCGATGCAATTTACCACTTGAACGGGACAGCACCTAACCTGTCACCTGTGTCTTGAGGCCATGGTACTTGAGGCGCAATAGAATAACATGGAGCAAGAACATGGACAAGGCGCATTGCCGCCTGTGTGTGTTGTGTTGTGTTGTGTTGGTCACCGCCTGTTGTTGTTTTGGATACCTAGAATCGGCATGGTGAAGTATCGTGGTATCCTAGGGATGAGTGTACTAAGAGAGGAGAGGGACGAAAATACAGTAGAAGATGGGGAAGTGAGGGAAGAGAGATCACGAGACACCAGTTCGCCCCAAATTCAGGGTCCTCGAGTCACAGAACATGGGAACATGGGGTGCGAGTGTCAAATGGAGGCTAATTACCCCGCTGTTGTCCAGAGCGGTCGAGCCAGCTTCTACATTTGAGTCTAGGGAATTAATTGCAGGAGACTTGAGAATCGCTGATTTGGACGAGTCGGTTGAGACATTACCTAAGGGGACCATTCCCCTACCGGGTTGACCCCGGCTTGTTACACGTTTTCCTCCTTCTTTTTCTCTTCTTTTCGTCTTTTGGTTTTTGTTTTTAATCTCAACTCTGCTCTGTTCTCACGCTCTCTTTAACGACCCCGTGGTACGACTACTGACCTTCTCTTATCCCAATCAGCAAGCATCATCTTTTCCTAATTCGCCTCCCCGAGTCCACTGTGTTGCTCAAATGCTACCCGGTTTTAGAGGGGCAGAGAGACGTCAAGTAGACGCGGCGCTAAAGCAGAGATGCAGTAGTGGACGAGGCAACACGCGCAAGTGGCCTACGGAGTACGCAGTACCTATATGAAAAGATACGTACCTCGGATAGTACTGGATGCAGAGTGGACGCAGTGTGGGCAGTGGGCGGGTTTTCATGCAGTCGATGCACGGCAGAGCAAGGGCTATTTTGTTCACCGCATTTTTGGAGATGCATCGAAAGCCCAATTACACAGCATCGGCAGGCGGCAGGGCATCCTCTTCTTGCCCCCCTACCTAAATGTATCTTAGACTAAGGTAAGGTAGTTTTACCCCATGTTGCTATGCCTTGCTGTCGTCGCTGCCTGTGTCAGCTCTCGGGAAAAGACATTGCGAGATGGGAGGCGGAAAGAAGGAGGGATCTTCAAGACGCCCAACGACAAGCCATGCACCATGAGGTTTTGGCGGGAATACATGAGATGATGTGGCTGCCGCCGCCGCCTCTGCCGTTGCCGTTACTCTTGCCGTTGCCATAGCCGCTGACCAAGCCTGACAGAGTCAGAAGTCAGACATGCATCATCTCGCCGTTCAAAATGTGCCTCGAGCTAAGGTACACAAGAAGGGCAAGGCCAGGTACCTCCACCACCTAAAGGCTAAGGTAGGTAAGGCGAGGTATTCTCGGGATGTGCGAGCCAAGGTACCTTAGTACGTACCCGCCGTGCCACATTACTTACATGCCTCTTTCCAAGTTTCTCCGAAGAATACCTGCGAAGGTACAGGAGGGAAGGAAGTCAGAGGTCAAGAGTCAAGGATGGAAAGACCGAGATACTACCTTGCTACCGGAACGAAAGACGGCGAGGAAAGTGACGATGAGGCGGGAGGAATGAAATCGGCAACAACGAGTACGTATTCGGATAGATACTTGATACTTGACCCAAAGTATCGTCCACTTACATAAGGCACGGTTGCCCACTGCACAGTAATCCATATGCTATTACCAGTTGCAGGGCTCGCAGGGCTAGGCCGCCAAAGGGCAGATGGGAAAAAAGAGAGCACGATCCAGTGCTCCATTCCAGCTCCACTACCCAAAGATAACCCACCTCAAAAGGTCCCAGTCGTTGGGCCGTCGTTGTGGGCGTCGTGAGCGTGGCGTGGAGCGGGCATCGGGGATGAACCGTGAAGACCAGGTTCCTCTCACTTGCGTATGGAGACTGGAGTACGGACTACTGTCAGGCTTGAGGTACCTTACCTTAAGGTAAGGTATAGAGAGAGATGGAAGAAGAAGAGACTTGATACTCCAACGAGTACGTACCCCACAGCTGCCGCTCCACCCACGATTGCGGCACTTCCGTCCCTCTCCTCTGCCCAGTGCCATGTGCCCGCAGTCACAGCTACTGCTCTGCTCTCTACCTTACTCTCTCCTCCTCTCTCTTGTTGCTTGTGCATCTGCATCTTCTCCCTACCAAAACACCACCACCATCATCATCATCAACGCTCGAGTCCTTCGTCACAAACACCATGGACGCAGCACCATTGACCTGACTGCACACCCCCTTCCCGGGCCATGTCCATGTCAATCTCTCTGCCGTGAGGTACCGACGCTGAGATTCCGGAAACCTTACCACCCTCTCCCGCACCCTCATCCTCGCCGCCCTCACCACCACCACCATCATCCAAGTACCTACCAACATCCAATACCACCACCACAACGGAGCAATTCGCACTTCATCCGCCCTCGGCCTATCCCTTCCCCCCTCTCGACGCACCGCTTGCACTTGCGGCTTGTGGCCTAACTTCGTTTCTTCTGCCTGTTGACCAGGCTTTCCCGTCCTCGACACATCAACTAATCCCCGCCAAGCTAAACCCGCCCTCTCTCTTTACCACGTCGGACACCACACATCTGAAATCGACATTCCGCCCACCTCCGACACTGCCAATCCTCCACCACTAATTACCACAAGTCCACAAGTACACAACCCTTCCTTCGCATTACTTCATACCGACCTCGTCCACTTTCCGACTTCCACGACGCCAATCCCGACACTATTCCGTCCAATCCAAATATCACCACCACCGTCCTCGCTCCCACGCTTCAACACGACTGCACTCACTCACTGCAACATCCAGCTGTTGCCACAGCACACTCTCTCCCCACCCCGCATTCGACGGAAACCAGGACCCTTTCAACGAATATTACAGATCACTTCTGTCGCCTTCGTTGCTCATCGCCAAAGTACGAGACCACCTCCAGTCGGCACCGCTCACCTCAGATACCGACTTCTCAAACCAACCCCCCGGCCCATCTTGATCCGCCACTCCAATCGCCGCCTCCTTTGTCCCGACCATCTGGTTCCCTTTGACTGCGTCACATCCAACACATACTGCTCCTTCCGCCTTCGACTCAACTTTTTTCACATCCCGAATCTCTATCGTGCCTTTGCGCCAGCATTCCTCGATCACCATCAACGCCGCCCAAACGCGCTCGCTCCCCCGCCCGCGACTTCGACGTAGGGTTCCTCTCGCGACCTTTTACAACCCTCATCCCCGCAATCCAAATCGGAGCGGCAGCCGCCCAAAGAAAAAAGAAAAAAAAAAGAAGACTCCAATTCTGCTCGCGTGCGTGCGTCTCACAGACACAAAGAGCCTGCATCGCAACACTTAAGCCACTTCCGATTTGCTCAACCTTGAACGAACGCCGTCGACTCATCGCCATTAAACTTCGGCCCCCGGCTACCTAGACCTCTCCAACTCCTGCGCACCCCTCAACTCTGTTGCACCCAGCCCGCCTCTAACCACCATATGCCGACTTTCGATTGAGCCTCACCCTCCACCATCACGGTTCATCGCGTTGCTCACCCTCAATCACATGGAATTCCTTTCAGAAGCAATGCATTTCCATCTCATCTATCAAAATCGTGTGCTTCGCTGAAAAAATGGCACACTCCCCCAATTTCTAATCAACAAGAGTCCAGCAGTCCGTCGTCCTTCGAATAGTTTCCCACCCATCTCACCCACGATGTTAGGGATGCTCTTCGGCACGTCCAGTGCTACAGGTGCTTCTGCCTCATCACAATCAAATAACAACTACAACAACACCACTCACAATGAGGCTCCAATGTCTCTCGAATCCAGGCAGGAGGATATCCATACCCGGAACCTCTTGTTCCCCGACACCGATGCCTTGTACCAACACCCAAACGAGAACCTCTTCCCCTTGGGCTCCGGTCTTCCCATGGCATCCCTCGCAGGTGCCTTCGACTATGACGGAGACGTCGACCTTGACACACGTCATGTCCGCATGCTCATCATGCAAGATGCCGTTGCCTCCTTCCCAGCGCAACTGCTTTTCGACAGCCATCCAGCTCCTCCAAAACCGCCTTCCATGACCACAGGAGACCGTCCACCAACTGGTATGGGAACTGTGCAGGACTCATACAGGGGCCCAACTTCGCCGCGAAAGAGCAGTCTGAACCAGTCATCACGGCCTCTGGTGATTCAGCCGGACAGCCCCCAACCCCGCCAAGGAGCGTTCGATCGCAGGGCCTCAATGCAAGGCCGAACTCAATCTCAAGCTGAGACGGACCTCCAGCGCGCACGAAGAGAGTACGCCGACGAAATCCATGCCTTTGCAGGCTCCGTATTTGGAAATTCGGAATTAATGGCCTACAAGGGAACTTCAACAAAGGTCCATATCGTCCCTACCGAAACCCGTCCTGAATATGGCGGCTCCTATCTTGGTGACGGCCGCGGCTCTATAGGTCGGTCGAGCATGCGGTCCAGCAGGCTAGCACAGTCTTACACATCGGACAACGTTTCGCCTCTGCAACCGCAACAATCCTTCACTTCGTCTGCACCAAATACACGGAGTCTTCCGGAAAGGAGGAAGATTCTCATTACCCGATTATTCCCTGTACTCTTGCCTAGCGATGACGAGGCACAGAGTGACACGCCTTTGAGCCGATTTTCAGATCACAACACTGGCTTCCCGTTTCCGCAGTCTGCCGAAGACGCAAACGCCTCCAAGAAGAAGAAGTTGCAGCCCAAACAAAAACGTACACCAATGTATGCAGTTGTATTGGTGGTCCAGCTCCCCCCCAGTACTGCGCAGATGGTGCCTCCCTCCACCATTCGGTCAACTTATCGTGGTGCCAGCTCCTATACAGAGCAGGACTCCTTCCCATCCTCCATGAGCTCGGCCCGTCGTTCAGGATGGAACATGTCTGGATCCAACTTCCCCATTGACTCCATGGATTCCAGTTGCTCGACAGATGTTGACGATAGGATGGACACAGTTACTCAACACTGGGATATTATTATGCGAACTTTGACGCACCTCCAAGGGGTAGTTGCTACTACGCTTGGTGTGCTGCTAAAACAAGCAGACATCTCTTCGCCGGACCCATATCCTCCCTCGGCATCTTCGTACGCCAGCAGAGGTCCATCCATGGGTGGAAGAAGAAGCGACGAACCTCACTTTGTCAAGCCTCCCAAGACTAACGCAAAAGTCATAGCTCTACAGCCTCACTGCTTACAGAACGATAACACGATTGTGCAAGAGGCTGATGCTGCCAGGATTCGAGTTGTGACGGGCTTGAGCGCCCAGCGGGTTATCACAGCGCAGGGGAGATGGGGTATCTGGCGGGACGAAGCTAGGTGGATGGCAAGAAAGGCTGGCGAGAAAGAACATGGCTTCTTTTTCTTCAACCTCTTGACTGGCTTTCTTGCCACGCACACCGATTGGCTAAACGCCATGAGCCCGGCATGGTACCGCAGAAAGCACTATCAGCAACAAAAGGCCAAAGGCGAGGATGATCTATCGCTCCCAGCACGAACCATCATCATCTCGTCAGACAAGATGATGGCAAGACGTCTCATCTTCCTCCTTTCTGCCTTTTTGCCATCCCACCAGCACCTTTCTTCCACCAGAGCCCACCGACCGAGTACTTCAACCTCTTTTGGAGCTTTCTCCCAATCGCCACCTTCGCTGATTATCCCAATTCTCCGGGAAGAGTCATTGCGGCGCAAGATCAACCGACGGACAGGGCCAAGGAGAGTCTCGCATTCCCGTACTGTTAGCCAAAGTACACGAGCCTCCGGTGTTCCACCTCAGCTTGCCCACTTGAGTATGGAGAGCAATCATGAGAGACGCGTTTCGGACGCTGCCTCAATCCGATCAAACTTGCCCATCCCTGGAAACGATCAGGTCAGTCGGAAAAGTAGTGCAGCAACGACGACCACAATCACCCCAGAGACGACAATTCCACACTTTGCAACTGCTCAAAGGTTCGAGACCCGACGAAGTCTAAGACCTGGTAGCAGTGGCAGTGTTGCCGCTGATGACCTCAAAAGGACACTGAAGCGTGGTGAAAGCTCGGGTCACGTCAGCTCGGCGAGTACAGATTCTCGCATGTCGGGCTCGCGTTGGGGTAGTGTTATTAGCACGCTGTGGAACGGAAAGAGGAGGGATTCGACAGGCTTGACCACTCCTAGCCAACCCTACAGCAGCAACCCTACATCCCCCACCAAATCAGGACCGGGAGGACGTCGAGATAGGTTGGCAGAAATGGTGAGGGAAGTCGGCCCTGAAGGGTACCGCCGAACAGACGATCGCATTCACAAGACCGAAAGCAATGGCAACGGGCCTACAACCCCGCGGGGTTTCGATGATCAGGCTGTCGAAGATGCTCCTGAGAGGGTCTCCTTCCCTGAGCGAGTTCCTGATCCCAGCGGCGACTTCCGTTCTCCCGTCAAAACGTCAATCAATGCGGAGGACGGGGTCATAGACGTTGATATCCCTTTCCCTGACTACATCACCTCTTTCGAAACCGCGGTCAGCTCACCGTCGAGCAGCGGCTATCTATCTACGCCGGGCATTGGCAACGGTTTGGAGGGCTTTGAGCAGTTTTCCCGCATTACTATCGACGGGGATTCGCCGATGAATGTTGCCGGCTTCCTCCAGCGATATCATCAGGACTTCATCCTTCAGGCGGTTCCTCCCCAGGATACCCTCATGGAAGACATCAAGAGGTCTATGCGCGCCGAGCCGACCCCTTTCATCACGCAACCCTTCTACTCTGCCGAGCAGCCCGCCGATCGATGGGTTGACGTTAGCAGCGCTCTAATTGCAGACACGACGACGCATACGATCAAGCGAATTCGATACCGCCGACTCATCAGACCGAAACCATTCACAGATAGGTCAGCACCTCTCGGATCTGCGGGTTCGAGCGCCTATGGCAATGCTCCTATGACGCCGTCTATACTTCCCTACGAAATGCAGCTGGACGACGAGTTCATCGAAGAGCCCATTGCAAGCCTCGACGAGGTGCTCATTGACGCCGTCGAGAGAGTCATTGCGCAGAGCAACGAAGTGAGCAAACAGAGCTCATCGAATTCGTCCCGGTCAACGAGCAAGCGACGAGATCGCAGCAATAGTGAAGCATCGGTCTCCGTGGATTCTCGTCACACCACCCGCATGCCGGTCCCGTCTCAAGAAGTGCCTCGGGACCAATGCAAGACGGTTGTCTTATCCGCTCTCGATGAGATTATTCGTGATGTCATTGGGGAACGAGACCATGACACGCCTGATGCTACCGTCCACGCGGTAGACAGAGATCGAGAAAGCACTCTCAAAGAGGCTGTTCGGGTCTGGCTCGAGGCTGTTGACCCAAGCGAGCAAGACTGAACCATACCAAACCAAAGCAGGACTCCTGCAACTACCAACAACAAGCTGCAATTTGCGGCGTTCATGATGTTATGATATCTAGCAGACAAGATTGGTCTGCTAGTCCATGTATCACCACCAACCACCATAAGTTTCCTTGGTTCGCAGAAAGACATATAAACTGAGTTGATACCCCAAGCGAGAAAGCCACGGCCACTTCTCGAGAAAGACACCTGCACCGGCGTGGCAGGGTGCGACGATGCGCAGGAGGCATAATCGGCATAGGAAGGCAAGGACAACATTCGGGTTTCCGATTGGCGTTTAGGAAGGCATAGGTACTAGACGGATGGGGTCTTTTACCACTTTGTTTAGAGCGAGGGGAACAGGCGTGACGGGTAGTCACGCCAGGGCAGTTTTCAATTTTCCATCCAAGGTCAAGGAAACTTACCCGGATAGCTAGGAGCGTATACGAATGAATAGGGGAACGGGATCCATTTCCTGGCAAGTCTTGACCGCATCTGTGAAATGAAAGTCATTGTGAGATCAGGGACACGGCGTAGCTAGACAAGGTAAGCAAGCAAGGTTTCTGGTCACCAGCGATTGCTGTACTATGCAGCTGTAAACCCCGCATCGTATTTCAAGAGCACACATCGTTCACCATGGCTACTCAATACGACCTTGTTGGTTGGTATTTATTGACGTTGTATCTCAAGGAACTTGCAATCCCTCACTAGGCGGGGGAAAGAAAGGGAGGTATCATCTTGTAGCAAAAAAGGCAGCATGAAAAGAAAATCGAGTGGTAAAAATAAACCTGGGCATCCCCAAAATCGCCCCCCATTCAAAGAGAAACAAGACGCGCAGAGGCACATCTTTCCCCAAAAGCCTCCCACGTTCTCTTTTTTTCCTCATTTCCCGCTCGTCGTCAAGACACAAAAACTGAAACGCCCCTGATTTTTTGTAGTACCCGGCCCCCTCTCCTCCATACCTCCCGAGGTAAGGCCAAACACCTTCTCAAATGTAGTGGAACGAACGGCAAGACCAGAAGAATTTGCAACATGCCTCGACCTGTGATCGTCTTGCTGTTCTTCATGCGACCCCTCCTTAACCCATTCATGCCGTTATATGTATGCGAATCGAAGATGATGTACATGTAAAATCGGAGAGAAAATCATGCTCGTTGCTACCCATCTATAGCAGTGGTCGCATGCGTAGTGTTCGATGAAAAGCATGGCTGCTTTTAGTGACGCAGCAAGATTGTGTATGGGCACTCAGGCAAAGTCCATGTCGTCAAAGTCGCCCTCTGCATCGTCCTCGACAACTTCCACCGGATTTTTGCGAGGTCGTCCGCGAGGTCTCGGTCGGGAGGTAGAGCGCGCGCGTTTCTTGCGACCACCAGCAAGTGCGCCAGCTTTGCGCTTGCGGCCTCTTCCGTCACCGGTGGGGCCATCGTCTTCACCCTCACTAGGAGTTTCGGCTTCTTCGCCGTCCATATCGTCCTCATCGACAACCTTGAACTCCTTGTCAACGTTCATTAGTTCCACGAATGCCTTGCATTTCTGTATGGTAGATTCCTGTGTTGAAAGACCGTTCACATGCGAGTTGACTTCCTCCCAGAACTTGTCTCCAGTGACACCTTGCACCTTTGTAGGTGCTTTGCTGAGGTCCTTTGCTGCCATCTTGGTCTTGGTCTCTCGTTTGCTACCCAAGCCGTAGAGACGCCGCAGATAAGTTCTTGCCTCCCAGAGACAGAGAAGAATAATAGATCCGGAAGTGAGTTGCCGAAGCCTCTTGGGAGGAATGTTGAGCTGAGGTTGTTGCGGCAGCTGTTGCTCGCCATTGGCTTGCGGGTCCTCCGGCTTATCGAGGTCCATGCGCATATTGAAGATTTCCGACTCAATGACGTGCGCCATGCTGGATCCAGTTGATGAGAACATCTTTTCCATCGCATGCACCGTGACTAGCACTTCTCCAACGGTAACATAGTCGAAGAATGCAAGATTCTCGATCATGAAGCGGGAGAACTCGACATGAGCAGGCAATTGCTTGGATACATCGAGCTTCGAAGAGTCGAAATCAACTTGGCCCACAAGTTTCTCTAGGAACTTTTGTCGGTTCTTTGACTTGCTCACTTTCAGCACCTCCATCAGGAGATGAAGCTTGGACTGGAAAGGATTCGTCGTGGCGCCACGAGTATCACCCACGATATCTCGCTGGTATTCGTAGGCTGCTTGGATAGCTCTCGCATACTCGCGTTCAATGACGGTTTCGTGTTTCTCATGGAGCGCCCGATGTTCCATGAATGCGACCTCGGATATCTTGGTCATTGATGACGTTTCGAGGGTGATCAAAGTCACTCCCGTTTCTTTGGGATGCACAAGACCTTGTCGATTAATGCTGCCAAGTACCTCTACTGCGAGGAATGCGTGCTCATCTTGCGACGACAGAGCGATACGAGTGACCTCCTTGAGGAAGCGTTGGGTAGTTGCACTCGCCACATCGTCGAAGCTTGTTCCACCCATTACTGTCAGCTCGCGCTTCTTGTCGGTGTCGGCGCCGGCGGCAGCAGCGGCAGTCGCAGCCTCTGACCGCTTTTCTTCGGTGAGGAGGAATTCCTTGAAGGACCGGAGGATAGTACTCTCGAGTGCCGGAACCTTGGCTTCGAAAACTTGTTGAAACTTGGTGTACACGTTCGGTGAGACGTAATTTCGGGGATGTGCCTGGCAGATGAGACCGATGGCGTCGAGGGCGTGCTTCCGGGCCTCCATGGGCTGTGACGCATCTGCCCAAGGCGATAGGTTGTCGACCATAAGCTTTGCCACAGATTTGCCAGAGTACTTGGGGAAGATCTTGAGGAAGACAGCAAGCTCGGAGTCCAAATCGCAATGCTTGCCGACCATTCCGACAATGATCGAATATCTGGCAAACTTCATGAGTTTGGTGGCGTCCATCTGTGTGTTGCGCATGCTGGCAACTCCGCGCAAACTAGAAGCACCTAGATGGGCTAGCTTATCGCGATTGTCCAAGAGAGTTGCAATGATCCATAGACATGCGACGACATCATCCAGGAGGTTCTTGTTGAGTCTGCCAACAGAGTTCTGAAGCTGTTCTCTCACTTCTCGAAGGAAGTCAGCATACTTTGCAGAGAGTTGCGGCAAGATCTGGCGATAGATGATTGTGACGGCTTTAAAGACAGCTAGGTCATCAGCACCACTGATGCTAGCGAGATGGGGTTTCAGCAGCCTGATCTCCTCAAACGTAAAAAGCTTGGGGTCTGCCTTCGCGAAGATTTGCAATACTTGCAATGCATCTCTTCCAGAAGGGATGTTGGGATCGTCGGAATCAAGATTATCGATGAGCTCAAACATCTTCTCAACCAGCTTCATGCTGACGCCAAAGGGACCATTGTGAGACTTGTTCTGACCGCCCAGGATGGACTGAAGAACCTTATCGAGGACTGCACCAACATTACCAGACTTGACTGTCTGAATCATGAGAGCAACGTGGTCGGTGAGGGATGTTTTGAAGGCTGCTGTGTCGTCGACCTGGTAGAATGGAGCGAACCAGACCTCCTCAATCATCTGGCGAGCAAGCTCTCGAACGCCTTCGTCGGGGTCTTGCACACGATGAAGCAAGCCATTGGCAATAGAGCTGCGGATCTCCCTGCTTTGGTTGCGAAGGTAAATATCTTTGGCCAGTTTCATTGCCCTCTTCCTTACGCCGATGCCGGAGTCGATAAATCTTTCAATGATTCGTTCCGCCATCTTGTCTTCTAGTCTCGGACGCAGGCCAATGCACTTGCCCATCAAGCCAATTGCCGAGTCGCGTACCTGAGGGGACGAATCACTTGAGCAGTTGATGATCAAATGAACCACCACGGAGTCTCCGTCCAGGATGGCCGGATCTGTCTCCAAGAGCTGATTAATACTCTTGAGACTCTTGCTGCGGACGGTGGCCTGGTCACTAGCCATGGCATTGAGCAGAACATTGAGCATTGCTCTGAAGTGTTCGCAGAATGGTGAACGGAGAAGGATGATGGAGTATGCCAATTTTGCGTGGTTGTTGTTGACGTCTTTGAAAGTGTATTCGTTAGAAAGCCATCGACGATCCTCAATCATCATTCTGAGGCGGAAGGCAAGTCGTCCAAACTCGTGGTTCAGCGAGTCGTTGGTCTCTTGCAAGGCCTCATAGCCGGAGAAGATCCTCTGGGCCCAATCTGCAATCAGGAAGGAAATTGCGCCTTGTAAATGGGGGTCATCGCCACACCGTTGCTGGAGGTGTTCAAGAGTTGTTCGGAATGGTCCCGACCACGAAACGTCGTGTTCAATTCGACTTTTCTGCTCCAGCGCGGAAGTTGCCAGCTCAGACAGGTACCGCGACAGCTCGTTAGAATCGCTTCCGTCCATGGAGTAAGTTACCTTGCGAACATGTGAGCGGAGTTTGGAGACTGCAGCACTCATGACGCCAAGAAGTTCGAGGGCCATGTTCTTCGCAGGCGCGGCAGTCCTATCTCCCTCCCAAAGCTTCATCATGTAAAATGTCATCTGCCGGAGAATGAGCTCAGCAGAGGGCCAGTCAGGTGAGTCGAGACATTCCGTGAAGTCTTCAACGAAAAGATCAAGGAGGTTGCGGTATGGAGTGTCGCCGGACTTTGTAGACTTCAGAGCCCGGTTGACCATAAAGTTGACCACGTAATTGGCATTGTGTGTCGAGCCTTCAGTCAAAGGTAATGCCACAACCTTGAGCTCCTCCAGGGCGAGCACATGTTGTGAGGCACCTGCATCCTCCGACTTGACAGTAGCAGCCACCGTCTGCTTCGTAGGCTGGGCCAACTCATCCTCATCCGGATCTTCTTCTTGCATCATGGCTAGCCGACTGCGCGTGCCCTTCTCATCAACCTTGCCAGAGCTGGCCTGGACAAGGCGCATGATGAGCGCCGATACGGGCTGGATGCTACCGCCATTGGAGAGGCGAAATTGGCGAGCACTTTGTTTTCCAACCGGAAGCTTTTCCAATGATGTGAG